CAACCCCCACAAATGTATCTGGTGATTGACCACCACGGTTGTGCTCAATGATGAGTCAAGGGCACCGGTAACTACAGGGAAATTTAATTACATGTGTGCTGGTGCAGTAAAAACTACTGAAGGATACTGCTGGCCTACGCAATGTGGGCTGAAATGTGACCATTCAATGTTCTCTTAGACCTTCTGTCTCTATCTGATCAGTTTTAATTGAATAGTCTCTAATGAAGAATCTAATTAATTAACAAATTCTGGTGTGAGCAAGCATCGAACTCTCAGCTAAATAAACTTAATACAATCACAAAAAACTTTCACTGAAAACTAAGCTACATGATAGCTACATTTCACACAGCTGCAGACCTGTGTAGCACCTGATATCTTGTGTCTGGGACATATGAGTCTTTTGTTAGCCCAACAATGAGACAGCTCATCATCCCTGATCAGTATGCAGCAATGCACTCCTGCCCGTTTTAAGATCCCTGCTGTCACCATCTCCCTTTTCCTAGTGGTTTGTGTACCAAATGTCACCGTAAATATTCATATATGTGGCTTTGACCTTGAGCAGCGGTCTCTTCCACCATGCTTACTCTCTTCCTCTTCTTTACATTCAATGTCAAAGAGAGGAAAATAAAGAAAAACAGAACGCAAAAGTGGAGGTGGGGTGTTTCATCAACACGTGATCTGGAGTGAAAAACACAAGGAACAAAAATGTAATACAGTATTTGTCTTTTGCATTTACAGTTTCTTTAATATAAGATATAACTCTTTGCAGTATACCATGGGAAGTATGCACAATGCTTTAACGCCGTCATGCCATTTTACTAAATGGTGGCTGATATGTAACTGCTTTATTTCCGAGCCAAAAGACTCTTTGGTCTTTGGAAGGTGTCATCCAGCAAACTGTTTCCAATCTTACACTGTAAGTACCTGAGAGTCATCAGGAGGATGGACAAAATGAACCATAAACAGTCCATGTCTGTGGTCACTTATTAAATCCCATCTTTCTGCCTTGTCATTACTTTAGTTCTTTTACTGGGCACTGAACTCCAAGCAATTCACATTTTGAGTCTTTTCTCCTGCCAGGTGAAGTTATTTTTGGTACTTTTAACCCTGTCCACACAAAATCTTAAACAAAAGTTAAATAATGAAAAAATTAAATTAAAAACGTGAAGTATCAAGCAGGGGAGTTCAAAACCCGGAAGAGGTTTGAAGGTGACCCTCTGCCTTTTAAAAAGGTCCTCTGCATTTTTACTTGCTTAATTTATTCATTAAAAACAAGCTCTTTAAGACACCACCTGCATACACTTATTTCTATGTTAAAGTGTTTGAGATTAATCCAATAGTCCAGTAATGTGAAGGTGACACATTGGTGTATACAGTGGGAGCTAAAGAGGACCAGGTCTACACAAACAAACACACACACACACACACACACACACACACACACATGCAGGATCACTATATCTTCTATGTTAAATAACTGTGACAATATCTCCTTTTATATAATCAACAGGGATAAATAAAATCAAATTCAAATAAACACATTTGGAACATGACAGATGGTGTCTATGAAGGGGCACTCGAGCTCATCGGACAGAGCTGTGGGGACGCGCCACACAGAAAAACATGTCTGAAAACGTTTGTGAACCTCTGTCAGTGTATTCATACAATACAGAGACATTAATTGTCTCTTGATGCTGAGGTGATGGCAAGCTGACACCATAAGAAATCTCAACCAATTCTACTTTTAAAGTACTTGACGGCAACAAATGAGATACTACGTCTGTATATAAACTGTATAATACAAAATCTACTGTCAACACAGGAAGTCAGGATCTGACTCTGAATGGAAAGACATATCAATTCAGAGAAAAACAGAACAAGAATAACCTATAATTGAGACAAATGTCAGTTCTACAGTCATTCCAGTCCTCTGCCTGTATGTCTTGCTTTTTAATCATATCACTGTCACGGACTGTCTGTTACAAAACATTCTCTGATTCAATATTTCCAAACCCGCAGGTGTGTGTGTAACATACAGTATCACACAAATCATCAGTCACAAATGGTGCTCCCACACAGAGTGAAAATCCATCCATTATGGTGATCTGTGCACAAATACTGAATGCATTCAGTAAGAGTCCTTCATTTTGTGTGTAACCTGGGTAAAACATCCCGGTTACACACAAAATGAAGGACTCTACCTCATGCTGTTAACAGCAGAGCAACAGGAGCTACCGGTGCAGTCAAGCAATTATGTTGAAAACAAACAACTCAGTCCAAAATTAGAACAAAGCAGAAGTGAAGTGCAACATGTTGAGTGCTTCTATGCAAAATTAAAAAGCCATAAGCCTGAGTGTTGTTAGATCATATGATAGAAGCATTTGTGACCTTTCCAAGTCTATTTAATGCTGCTATAAACCATCCCCAATGTATCTACCACTTTGATCAATTTTCTTCTATTTTCCACTCACATCCATTATTTTTGTAGCCCTTTTTGAAAACTTAAAATAGACTACAGCAACTCTTGACTGCTACCTTTACAGCCTGCATTCTGATGGGTAGACCCTGATGTAACAGCAGGGAAAGTTATCTCATGCCTGAAATATCATATATATAATATATATAAAGCAGTTTCACCTAAAAAATCTATGTTTCTCTGAGATCCTGCTAGCCAATGCTGCTTCTAACGTTAACTCTGCTAATTTCTCTGATCACTTATGATCCAGACTTTTACCAGGAGCTGAATTATCCGCAGAAGTCTCCTCCTATACAAAACAAATGAACCCTGTAATAAAACTGGTAAAAACACAGAAAAAAACAGGTTCTCTTTAAAAATCTGTGTCTCTCCGACGCCGTTCGGCGGACAGAGGACGACCCAGAGGGGCTACGAGCCGAGCTCTTAGTAATGTTAGCTCAGCTTGTTTCTCTGTAACTTAAGATCCAGATAAAATCCTCCATCTGGTTCAAATTTAAAGTTAACAACCAAGAAAATGAATCACAAAAATGTGGCCTAAAACTGAATAAAAAGTCAATTTCTGGACGACAACCGCAATGCTTGATGCATGTGCAAAGGGGATATGACAGGCGAAGGTTTGAAAATATTCATAACATGGGATAATGCTAGTACACAACTCAACAAAATATATAGCATAGGTCTAGTGTTTAGACATTTTAAGGCAGAAATGTTACACAATATATCTTAAAATAACATGAAACAATTACATTTGTTTAAAGGTTTGTTGCTGTTTTTGTCACAGTGATACAGTAGACCTGTACTGATTACAAAACGTCAGCAACCTTACTGTTGTGACAGATTTATGTCCTGTAATACTTCACATTTTTATGAATATAGGGAAGTAAGTAATGCTGCCAAGGCTTTCTGGCTCATGTAACTGCTAAAGGCTGTAGGTCTAGTGCGCTTGTTGTATTTCTCTTTAATGTGGGATCCAAAGATGGCTAACATCTTACAGCACTGAAACTGCAAGATGATTTTTTTATGGGCAAAGAATATAAATCCCCAGCATAGTAGAGTCCTGGGTATAGAGCTGTATGTCTGAGCTAAGGGATTCTCTCTCCTTTGAAAATCATCACAAACCACAGGAAATAAAGTAGTTAGAATCAAGAACAAATCACATATCACTGCAAAATTATTGTATCCAGATTTTGACTCTTACGGTGAAGCAAAAGCGTTTAGAGCAACAGGTTATGTTGCAATGAAACCGAGCTATTGTGTAGGCTAACTACTCTTAAACCTCTAAAACTGTTATGACATTTACACCAAGGAAATTCTGATGATTTTAGATGAGATCAATAACTGGGAGGAAGTAAAGTTTGATACACAAGTTGAAAAGACATGGAACAGTGAGTCTGTTAATTCTTTTACAGGTAGGAACAGAACATAAAACAAAATAATAGGCTTACACACAGTGAGTGCTAACCACAATAAACCCATGTGTCAGTGTCTTTGTTGAAGAAAGCTGAAAAGCTCTTATTGAGATAAATGCCACAGAAATGTCAGCTACAAATAGACAGCTGTCATGGTAACTCCAATATCTAATATCTAGCTTAAACGTCATATTTGGTTGTTTTTTTTTCCAAAAGCCTCCATCTGTCTGCTCTGGTGCACAGAGGACTGGCGAGGACACAGGAACCATGGCAACACCTCTAAAGGAGGGATGGGGGGGGGTCCTTTCTTGACAACAAAAGGGTTTTGTTAATTTAACACATAGATGTGAAAATAAAGTTTGAAAGGGGTCAAACACACATCTCACTCAGGAGTTATTTGGGTTTCTTTCATTGTGGGTATAAGCTCATATTTGTATGACATGATTTCCACATACACTCACCTTCTGATTCATAATTAGAAGCTGTGTGATAAGCTAGTCTCCCACACATGTGATGACTTATTAGTTGCCTTGTGTAGACTGCAGTATGTCCCTATAGACGAGCAATCTAACGTGAAACGCTTGTCCCATGAGGCAATGCTCTCAGCTTATCAATGCGATTCATCTTCCTGATAACACGCTGTGTCTTGGGCGGCGCGGTGTATGATGGGGGCGACAGCGACCTGCTGGGGTTGTATGCTACAGAACATTTGGGGGGCAATGGCTGGAATAAAACACTTCATGCTTTCACGCCTCTGTGTTTTTTTAAAAAGACATACACACTGGGTGTTTTACAGTCTGAGTCCAGTACTTTAAAACTCAGCATGCTTAAACGTGAATACTTCAAGGTAAACAAAAATGAAAAAATATGTTTTTAGTATTAAATATATTTCTACTGTAAGTGGGGGGGGTTAAATATCCATTTTGTGATAGAAAACATCTCTCTGTCATTCAACACAACACCCCTCACCTTATTGCGGTAAATATTAGCTTCTGACATTGCTACTGAAATATTAAACCAGCTTTGAGAAGCACGCTACAGAGGCTGTATCCCAGCAATGAGTGCGCCCCCCCCTCCGACGGCACGTGGATGATTAATCATGGTATGCCGCGCGTGCACTTGAGCTGAAAGTGCTAGAAAAAAAAAAAACCTGAGGGGGTCTTATAGGCTACTCGGTGGGGGGGCTACTACCGGAAAGGACTGCAGGATGGCCAACCCCGCGTGCGTCAATAAACAACATCCAGCTCGTGAGCACTGAGCTGCGGAGCGCGAGCGCAGTCTCCAACTTGAGGCGCTGCCCGTGGTGCTGAATCCCCGGGACCGACGAGCCCCGTGAGCGTCATCTTTTCCCACGACCTCTTCATACCTGAGCTCTCGTGTGAACCCGGGGATGATGGGAAGTCACCCGTTTCAGCCAGTCTGCGCGAGGACACGGTCGGAGGACTTGTGGATTTAAAGCCCTGAATTGAAGCATCAGTCTCGGCTCGACAAGATGTTTCTGAAGACATCATTTGTTACGTTCTTTTAACTGGTTCAGCCAGTAAGCGTTCATTCATCCATCCGCTCATTCATGAAAGGAGATCTAACATGTTGTAAAAAACAAAAATGAACTGCTGTGATTTAGTTGCCCTTCAAGCGTTATAGGATATCTGCGTTTTAATCCGAGAAGAGCAACGATACCCACCGAGACATGGCTCGTCTGCTTGTTCTGGTCAACTCCGTGGTCCTGTTGCTTTTTGGCAGCGACATGTTCTTGGTAGGAGCAAGTAAGTATAACAGGTCACTGTCTGTTTGAGTCTAATGAGGCTTTTGTTTCTTATGTATTTGAATCTGCACCTGATGATGCGCCCTTTATTCACACACATCTAACACAACACAATAATGCTTTAATGGTCAGGTGTACTCACTTAATGTATGCTATTAATATCAAAAATCTACCCCCTGTTTTAATCAGATATAGACCAGAATTCAAGCATGTTTAAGTCCAAGATAGACTTTAAATGATCCTTTGTTTTACATTTAACTCTATAATAACTGTAAGAATAACCTTGGCAGTTTGCCCTACTTGTGCATCGAATTAAAAAAAACAAAAAAAAAAACACTGTTAGCAAGTTTACAGCAAGAAAGCTGCCAATAATTCCCTAAAGAGAGAATCTGTACTACAGTCACATCCAGCCTCTTCCCATTGTGCCACTTGGAAGACATCTTCCTTTTAAATCATGGCACTACTGAACAATGTGACTCATAAAAGCCCTCATTGGGGGGGGGTGTGCCACAGAAACACCAGTTGCAGAGCCAAGCCTTCTTTCCATTGCATGCTCAACTTCAGGTTATTCATGAATGTTTCCTGTTTCTTTAACAGAAATCCGCCTCTGCATGCGTGCATCTACAGTATCTCTGTCTCTTTTTCTGTCTACCTGTATCGCTTCCTCCCTTCGTCTCTCAAAGGAACTGAGTCCTACATGTGATAGCGCCTTGAGAGAGAATCAGATTGGCACTTTACAGTTTCTGTGGCTGTGTGCACTGTGTGCCTGATACAGATATTCAGAGCTTTTGTCATGTACTGCGCTGACATGTGAAATGCGATTGCATCTCTGATCTCAGTGGAGTTCTGCATGCAGGCTGTCAAGAGCAGGGAAAGATGCTATTAGAATAACGAACATGGCACTCATAAATAAAAATTTGGCTGTTGCAATGAGCTTCAAAGTAAGTGAAAATAAATGCTGAATCGATTACTGACAGCCCTATGCATGCTATGACACTGTGGGATTCACAGTGGCATTTCATTCAGAGGAAGGTCTAAATTAATTGTAAGCTTCTTTGGTTCATCATGAGGTTGTCCATGAAAATTTAATCTATTCAACAACACAGGAAAAGGAAGCATTTCAGTGAAGTCTCTCATAAGATTAATGGAATTTGCTTAAGGTGTTAACTAAAATAATGTAATGGTGGATGGTTAATGCTAGCATTATAAAGCCATTTTTTCTTCCATCTCACCTACTAAAAAAAAGCTTTTTGCATTCATCCATTGAGCATGCTTTTAAACATGAGTCATGATTACACAATAATCTAAATGGCAAAGGTCTTTCAATTAGCATTGGTAAAATAGCAGATTTGTAAAAACCTGCAGAAATGACATGTGGTCCAGATGATTAAAGTCAGGACTGAGCTTCCAATATCTAAATGTTATTGAGAAAGTCAATATAAAACAGTATAAACTCACAGGTGTTTTTTCTTGGTCCAAACAGACAAGAAATACTTGAATGTGGATAACTATATTTACTTTCTCAGTCTGAAAACAAGCATGCTTGGAAATTAATCCCATATGAGGCCTAACCAGAGCTTTGGGCACTGAGCAAATGTGAATTAGAATTTATTGGATTGATTTAGATGGCCAAGCTCATATCATTCTTCAAATTGGCAATCTGCTGTTCATAAACCTCTTGACAAATACACGTTCTGTGTTACAGCTGAATCCATCAGCGTGAGGGGCCGATGTTTGCTCATGTTGTCATAATTTCAGCTGCTGCCGCATGGCCAACAAAAGACAAAAAAGTCCTAGATTTTAGAAGACCAGTAAACTGTAGCCCACTGCAGCCAATAAGATTAATGCTACAAACCCTTATTGTATACAAGTTGTTCATAAATCAGCTCCTGCACGTCACTGCTCACTAGCCTTTACAAATTTGGGATGATATAGTAATGTTAGCTTGCGGCTTTAGAGCCTTAGAGCTTGGCCAGTGATTATATTAACCTTAGATTGGCACCTGGTCCCATCTGGATCCACTACCGTTTCACAGCCTCTGAGTCTAAGAGAAAGAAGACAGAGTGTACCTAAAGGAAGACAGTAAGTGCCCCTACTATAGCGAGGCTCTGAAATTCACAGAAAAAAGCATAAGACTTTGCCACGCCTGACTGGAGCCTCCATCTATATCCATATATACTCTTTTTGCTGCACTAGATAAATACTAGTGTTGTAGAGAATTAAGCAAAGATAACATAAAGTCGGGCGCCCGGATAGCTCAGTGGGTAGAGCTGGCAACTCATGTACCGAGGCTGAGTCCTTCCTGTAGCTGCCCAGGGTTCGAATCTGACCTGCAGCCTTTTGCTGCGTGTCATCCCCTCTCTCTCTGCCCCCCTTTCCTGTCGGCCTTCAGCTGTCACTACAATAAAGGCAATAAAAGCCCCCAAAAATATACTTAAAATAAATAAATAAATAAAAAGAGATAACATAAAGTCACAGCTCCCACATGGCATCAAACGTGAAAGAAAAGACAAGTTCTCAGGAGGGAAAAGAGTTCGGAGATGAAACAAGAAAATGGTCCTCAAAGGTAATACGCCGTGTGAATGCTCTGGCTAAGCTAAACCAGCACGACATTGCTTAAGAGCCCCACTACCAGGCGATTTGCAACACGGAGGCCTGTGAGCTGCTGTGTGACAACCTCCTGCTGTGCAGAGGAGAACATTTAGACTCCCCACGACCGGGTTTGAAACACATCCAGCTGTTTGAAGATTGACTGGGCAACACATCAAAATCAAGGCACCTGTTTATGAGTTACGGCCTTTATTTATAAGATGCCAGTGAATATATTATCTCACAAGGGACTCGGGCATTATAAGTATTAGAGAAGGATTACATTGTAAGTAGCCCTTCAAACTGTCACTAGCTTAGAGGTAATTGAGACTGAAATATGATCGATAATACAGGGAGTCCGCAGCCTCCGTAAACCAGTGTTTTGCCTTTTAAATGAGTTTGAAGCGATATGAATTATGCACCTTTGGGAGTTTTATTGTGTTGTTAGTGAACTGATCAATCATTTGGAACATTTATGAACATTTATTACAGAACAATGAGCGGAGCACTCATTCATTTCAGAACTGATATTGTTGTACAATTAAGCACTAGTAGCTTCAGTCTCTATTTGGAGAATTTACTGAGTCATAGAGAAAATGTCACTTTGTCGCACTACTAACTGTAAATGAGCGCACAAGGTTTTAAATTGATTTTTATCATACAAAATCACCCGAAAGAAAGAACTGGGTTCAAATGTGTTTAAAGAAGTTAAAAGAAGTTAATCTGCAGAGGATTTCTGATGCTAACTGGAGCCTATTAGCAGAGGTCACTGACTCTTTCCAAAAGAAATGCATGGAATTACGATGTCTGCTTGGCATTCAGATACAGAATCTATTCACAAATAGTGATGAGGGCTATTAAATAGTGACTTAAATAGAGGCTCCCTAGCTGCCTCAAGAGTGCTATCATTCAATAACACACATCAGGTGCAAAAGGCAAACACAGAAAGACACTATGTTGCTGTTTTTCATTGGCTACGCATTTCAACCTTAATGCTTTTCTTCGGGCGGGATCAAACTAAACACAGAAGTGGCTCCTGAAAATAATATAACAGAGATGACATCTGTCACATTGTTGTTCCTGGTAGATCTGACAGGTAACGTAATCTCCAATTTTCAACTCACAGCAGCTTTTTCTATTTCTGTTTAATCAATGTTATGGTTATCCAAGGTGGTCTGCGATCAAAAGCGACACAAGGCTTAGTCTTATTGTGATAAATCTTAAATATCATTGTTTGACAAAAAAAAAAAACCCATCTTCAATCGACCACTTCTCTTATGCTGTGAGCATAGGCAACCAATAAACAAATCAGGATATATTGCACAATTGTGCTATTCAAGCAAATATAGAGGACAAAATCTAAGATACCTTCGCTCTAACAAATTCAACCTGGGCTTCTTTTCCACGTGGCGTGTCAACCGTTCAGAGATCCACCTACACTTTCACTATCTCTCTGTGCACTCTGGTTAGATGGGGAGTAGCTAATGTGCTGGGCTTTGGCTATATACGCTATGATTCATCCTGGCAGTGCGCCCACATCCCAAGAGGGTCTTACCGTTTGTTTGCACTGACACACGCCTCGGCCGCTGTGACCTACTGCTGTTTGATTTCTGATCTTACATAATGAATTCTGTGGAGTGGGGCTTACTCAGGACACGTGGACAACAACAAATATTGAAGTATCTACAATGACACTTAACACTACAGAAGGGAAAATCAAACAAGCTGGAAGGGAACACTGGGAAGAGGATTGGACTATCGGACAATAAAAACATTTGCATTAGAAATTCCCATCATCTGTTGTTTACTCATAAGCCAACAGTGATTACATTTTGGAAACATTGAGAGCATTTTTTTCCTATTTATCATGAGCTTCTAACATATTAAATGAATGATAACAACAATTTTAGTGTGTGTAGTTTTAGTTCCTTATGTTCTACAGTCCAAAAAGTCACCTTTCTCAGCTACTTGGAAAATATACTTGTCCTGCTCAACCACGTGCAATGGAAACAACATCATATAGAAAGAGGGCACTTGTACATTAGTGATGATTAATGGCCTGCTTCAGCTGAACCGTTACTTGCTCCATCACCAGTAAATGACGCGCATACAATGCATCATGGTTACTGACTGCTTTTTTGCCCATGCGTGGCTGTCTGTAACCCCCATTACCTAAAGGACAATGATCTTCAAGAGAAATTAACGTGTCCTGTCTTAGATAAATGTTGCACCTGATTCTGAAGGGCGTGTGCGCTGTGTGACACATGCCGCAATCTACATTTGAAAACGTTTGCATGACAGCTATTCAGATTTATCCTGAATGAATATCCTTATAATTTTGGGGATGGTGCAGTTGCATGAATCAAAGCTTCCGTGTGGCTTTTAGAAATGCAAGGCTGTTCATTATGAGAGTTTTATAACAAGATATGGAGAAAGAAATATGTAATCCTGCTGTGTCAAAGCCATATCCAACATTCAAGGAGGCATTTATTAAGTGGGGCTTTGTTAGATTTCAGCCAAGCATGTTGTTATGTAAGTTTATTGATACTGCAATAGATTTAGTTATAGGATCATTAGCATGACCATCAAATGGTCATATCACAAAAGTAACAGTCATTTAGACATTGCCATGGCGCAAGGACACAGGAACCATTATTGTAAATATATGTATGACTCATTCGCTGCAGCTCTCCAAAGATCAAGGACAATATATATATATACTATATGTGACTTGCCCTCCCTCTTAACCTACTGTACGTCTATCCTAGCACATTACAGCACCTGCTTCCAGAAATAAGCTTCTCATTACATGGATAAAATGAGACAGACGTAACCTCTTAACCTCTTGATACCAGTGATACCAACAGCCAAGCCCACTTTGCTCCCCACTCTCTCTCCCTGAGTTGAAACATTAATTTCCTCTTGTGCTCTTTATCACAGGCTAAGCATTAGTCTGGCCTCTTGTTCATCTCATTCACTGCCCTCTGCAAACCAATCTCTGAGCATGTCAGGAGCCTGAGGAACCGACCGGCGTGCCTGTGTTTGGCCTTGACCCCCCTGTGGTTCATAGTACCACAAGGGCCGAGTGAGGGAGACTGATACCCTCTCCTCACCTGAGGGTCTTGAGATATGCCTCAATGTCACCCTTTTGCACCGAACACAGAGGCCATCCTTGATTGTCTCTGAGATAAAACAGACAGAAGTGCAAGAGGCAAAAGAGAGTAAGAGAGGCAGAGATAAAAGAGGAGACACGGGGAGATAAGAGGAGAGGGATGTGAGAGGGACTGATATAGAAAACGGCAAATCATTTGAAATAGCTCCCAATTTAATCATTTTGTCTTTCATCTTTCTCTCTCGAGTGCACTTTTTGGATGTAATATTGTCCTTGTACAGCACATGCCTTTGGCTGTCATCTCAAGACAACTGTGTTATGGGTTATTAAGCCTGTGCCCTGTGAGTTAATACAAGCGTTTGAAATACAAATTGACTGTACAAAGTGTCATTAAAGCTCGCTTTGTAGTGAACTGCTACCGAAAGCTGTAACTAGAAATCTTACTACTGGTGCTTAAAGAGCAGCTGTGATACTGTTGTTACAACTCATTAGGCATATTATTCCATCTCTTCGTATTGTCTTCTCTGATTGCATCCCCATAAGAAACTACTCTTTTTTTTGCCTTTATCTTTCACATATCTGAGTTCTCAAGATATTTCCACTCGCTCGAAACTCTCAACATAGCATCAGTTACTTTCTGTGATAACACATGAAGTCCATTAGGCCTGCGTTAATGACAAAAGCCCCTTAGGATGGCCTCCAGGTCCCCATCTGCCCGGCCGATCCCATCTTACCTTTCCATCTGACCCGAGCGATTGCTTGGACACTGTGAAGCCATACGGAGCACTCTATTAGATCTGTCACCCTCTGTTTCTCTTGGCTTTTGCGTCCCAGGCTTTTGTCCCAATTCGCAATCAACATGTCCGTGGCAAGCAAATCATGATAGATGGCCGCGAAGTGACTGGGTGAAGAAACGTGAACCTGTCCAAAAGAGGTGGACATGAAATAGACAGTGAGGTTACTGATAAGGCTGTTTAGAAGGAAAACGGGACAAATTGATGAATCTTTTTTTAGTAATTCTGTTGGTGCATAATGAAATGCAACAAAGCCATAGTTAAAGAGTTAACTGAGGTGTTTACTTTGGACTTAATACTTTTTAATCTTATTGTTTGATCAGAGGATTTGATACAGTGATGTGTTATTCTGCTGCACCGTAATGATACATACAGTGTTTCATAGCGCTGCTGCTGAACTTTGAGACTTTTAATTCAAAACAAACACCTGCAGTGCTGAGACAATGCTTGAGACTTTCCAGGTGCAGTGTGGACACAGATGGCATGGATAATCTAATATCTAGAGAAATGGGCGGATTAACAGACCCCTCTGTCACTGTTTCCTTTCCTGTAGACCGGCCACCAGCTCCTGTCAATGTGTCCGTCATGCACCTGCGGGCTGACTCGGCAACTGTATCCTGGGAGGTTCCGGAGGGAGACATAATAATTGGCTTCTCTATCTCTCAACAGGTAAGTCCTAAACTTCTAATAAGAATCAGGGACAGCCCCAAAAAGAGAAAACTGCATTAGTTTTTATTTTTGGCTGGAGCCATCTGTGGTTTGGCATTGAGCCTTAATCGTGTCCTGTTGAAATGTTGTTGGCACACCACGCAGCTGGGAGGTAGAATGAAGAAGTGCACCTGGAATTCATTTTCAACCATGTCACATTTCTTGACAGCCTGTGGAACATATTGGGACAAAATCACAAATTAAATATATATCAATGTTTTTTTTTTCAGACAAGGAAATGCTCTTTTTTTATTCTAATAATGTATTCACTGACTGAAGTCTATAGAGGAGTTTTTGTGAGCTCAGCAAACACCTCACTATGTATCATGAGTTTGTTCAGCATACTGAGTGAGTAGTAGCACATAAGCATAAGATCCTGGTCGAATAAAGATTTGTGTTTGTCTGGATGTATATTCTTATGAACCCCTTAAAGCTTTGCTTAGCATGCTGAAAGGCTGACTAAATCTTGCCTTCAAGCCCGGACTTGGAATAAAACTTGGCATGGTCGATTTGTCAGGAGAAAACAAGGGTGCAGCAGGGAATGCACAGAAGTATGTGAAGCTGCCAAACGGCATTTTTTTTAGCATGAAAAGATTTCAAAGGCTTAGAATAGGAAAGCCAATGAATGCTAACACTGAATGACAGAAGGCCATATGCTGCTGTAATCATGTTTATGCTTTGTGCAACTCAAAACATTATGCAGCCATTTAACTTTGCTACTGACTCATGTGTCTGATGGGGCTGTATGTAACAGCCAAACGTCTCTCCTTTGGGCTGTTCATCATGTTATTCAGCTGAATTTAAACATGTTTGGTAATTGCTTTGAGAATACATGGCGCTTTAATCATTGCATTATACATTGTTTACAGAGAGTAAGGAGCTTTTTTTAAATCAGATCTCTCAATCAAGTAGGTCCATAAAAAACACATAAGGAAAGGACATTTGGCCCAAAGCCACTTGAAGTGTAGATGGGCTAGGGAGCACACTAAGAAGAGAGCTCTGTATGCAAGCTGAAGGAATAATTCTCGCAGCTTTGGGACTTGATTTCTCCAATAACACTCTGAAAGGTCAAAGGCAAAGTCTGAGACTTTGGAAGCTTGTGACTGAAGGTACTTGCAGTCTAAATTAATCAGAAAATTGACTTCACAACTTTTCAATTTCCAGTCAAGACTCCATATGGCGAAAATGGTGTGCCAACTGTTAACATAATAAAGTACTCAGCATGCCATTCTCCCGCACTTTGAATATTTCATGGTTGGTCACCTCTGTTTCACATTGTTATAGCCCATATAGAGACACGTGATTGCTTTTTTTGTTTGTTTTTTAGGATGTTGAGTGCAATATTGCCCTGTAAAGATAAAATTCATAAAGTCAGGCAAGAAGACTTTTTACAGAAGAGAGTGTCTTCCTTAGGGACACATTTGCAGGGCTGGTGTTTCTGTGTTGACCACCTCATTTCCCACTGTATTGATTACTGTATCTACTCAAAAGATCAATGTTTTGTGTTGTTCTCTATCCTTCTTCCAATCCCTAGAGGCAGGAAGGACACACGCAGAGATTCATTCGGGAAGTCAACACCACCAGCCGTTCTTGTGTTCTTTGGGACCTGGAGGAGGAGACTGACTACATCATTCAGGTCCAGTCGATTGGCCTCTATGGGGAAAGCCAAGCCAGCAAGAAGGTCCATTTTCGCACCCTCAAGAAGTCAGACCGCTTCCCCTCCAACAGCTCCAATCAAGGTAAGCTGCTGTGAGATACACCTTCTTCAAACAAAGGACAACAATCAATCAATCCTGCTAACAAGTATCGTTTGTGTAGCCGCAGATATAGTTTATAGCTTCTTGCCATGGAACTCCATTATTGTTTGAAAACTATTAACAAAACTAAGAGTCTACGGCCATGGTAGCAGCTCTGTGAGGCTGTACTCAGCACTTTGAGTTGAGGATGGTGCTAGATGAAAAGTCAGGAGATCACCAAAGCCATTAGGACCTCTGGGGACAATGGATGTACTGTATTATATTGTAATTGTATGGACTTTCATCCAATAGTTGTTAAGATATTTCAGTCTGAACTAAAGTGATGGACCGACCGACAAACAGACCAACATTTCCATCCCCTGAGCTGTGCTACATGGCTAGAAACTATTAAAAGCAAACAAAAACACGAGGCTGCACTTGGTGACACATTGCTTCATTAGCTGAACATAGCCTGTGTGGTCAAATTAACAAAGCAGAGTCAACAAGGATGACATTAAATGTTTGTTGTAATGAAGAAATACACACTTGGCCCAGTGCAGTGGTGTTGCTCTGTTATGACTTTTCATATGTTTTTGAATGATTATGTAGTTCTATGGCACAGAGGTATAAGCTATATGAGGCTTTGGATACAATACTTGTTAGAAGGATGAATTCATTGTTTGTTTTGGTGTCTTCGTGGGATACAAAATGATATCCTTTTAAGAAATCATTGCCAGGTATTGTGTGAGTTCAGAATCTCTCTCCAAGTCAACAAGGTGCTATAAAGTTTGTCCAACTGCAGTATAAATGATAGGTCACAATAGGTCAATGCAGCAAAAAAAAAATTCAGTGTTTAATCTCACTCTGTTACATAACATAATGCTTTGCTCTTAATTCTACACTACATGCTACAGCCACAGGCCTTTTTCCCGAGGCACAGACAGGAACAACCCATTACAGATGCTTTTCCTGCTGTTGCGCTAAAGCCTCTTCTGGCTGTTGAATGCTTTTAACCACCCTGACATTGAAAATGAGGTACAGTAAAGGCTAGTGCCGACATAAGTGCAAGTAACCTCCTCTCACAGCGTCCCTCTGAGGGGGCTCTACGTGCTTCTTGCAGGTTTATTTTCTCCTAGACACCAATTCATTATTGACAGGCTCTTCAAGCATGGCTGCAGGCAAGCTCCTCTGAATTTATGCAACTCTATATCGCTCTGGGTGCCTAATCAGGATTCTGACACACACTCTAAAACACTTTGGATTCAGTGTCTGCGCCGCGCTCATGGGTTGGAAGAAATATGAAGTGACCGTGACCAATAGAAAATAAGTTCAGTGGCTCTCAATTTCTTACAGCACAGATGAGGAAATGAGAAAAAGCTATTTGCTTTCTATTGTAAGCATTTTGGAAGAGTCTACATTACAGAGGAGACTCCTTTGCTAATCTGCATTAGGTCAGCCATGATGGGATGAGCCAAATACATTAAGTTAGAAAATAATGGCAGCTTGCATTTGACACTGTTCTAGACCCAGGCCTGAAACTATTTTTCCTCTGTTATCTTACAGTCTAGTTGGGGTTGTAAATACAGTATAGGAAGTGCTGATGCAATTGACTAATAAATGTTTCTATTTGGCTGACTCAGATTTGGTACCATTAGTTAAGCTGGCATGATTGGCAAGAGAAAAAGAAAATCAGGCTCAAGTTCAACACAAGAGCCTCTGTTCTGTCTATTAAGATAATACAGAAGCAAGCATTACCGTCTATTCCTGTCGCTTTACATCAAACACTGAAATTATATTCTGTGCTTAAGTTTTAAGTTAAAAGCAAATGACTTTAGAAAGATAACTAACCATCAATATCTGAACAAAGTGCTGAGCTTGAGAAGACGTGCGGCCCGTGCTCTACTACTTTTTCAAGACTCTTGGAAAAGATTCACCATGCAACATTAATCAGGATTTGTAGCCCTCCACCCCCTGAGTCATCCAAGTGGGTCAGAAAAACAGCCCATCCAGTGAATGAGCCTCATTTGTGGGAGTTTGTTTTTGTAAGTGTAGAAGCAATCAGTGTCAGCTTTCCATAAATCTAATGCCAGCACTGCTGACTTCTCATGCCCCAGTTTTGAAGTCCAATCACATCAAGTTTATTTATGTAACTCTTGTCAAGTTTATTGCTCAGCTTCTCTTTTAATGTTTGGCTATGTGCCTTTGTATATTTTGATTCTGATATTGTTGGCAAATGTATTGTGGACCGTATGTTATTTTTATACCAATCTCAGATAAATAATCTAGCTGAATGACTACAGAGACAAACACAGTCCGCTAATTAACTCTGCTGGTCATGTGATGGAAAATCACACCACTGTACCACCATCAGTAAAACAACATAAAAAGTAACATTAAAGTGATGTAAGTATTACACTTACTGTACTAGCTGTAGCTACAACAACATCAGCAACGCATAACTGACAGTACTTCAGAGATACTAAAGAAGTATATCTATAGTAGTTAAGCTGATACTCACATGCATTGACTCAGGTAAGTCTTGAGAAGGACAAAATACATGCATACATGCTAAATGTTTGACGTTTTATCTGTGTTCAATCCTGTATAAAATGACCAACTGCTATAAGATAAGGTACTAGCATTTGTTCCACAAGTGCAATGCTGTAGCAGGCTGATGTATCCTATTGTAAACTGTGGGTTTCAAAAATGCTGCATAAATGGTAGGATCTCTCGTAAGGGAATAAATGGCAGCTTTTTATCGTTTCCATCAATTCCAGTACAAGCAGAAAAAAAATACTTGTGTAAATATACTTTTAGATCAATTACATGAATTCACTCATCTGAACTTCCCTTCTAAAATGTACACTTTTTTGCATTAGCTAGCTAATGTGGCATCTGGCAGTGAAGTTGCAGATTGCAACCGACTGAATACTGCTCACCTTCTAAGTCTCTAGGGGAAACTACAGCGGGCGTTAAATTCCAGTGTTTGGTTTGCCCGTTCTAGGCTACTGTAGAATCATGGCAATTCAACACAGCATACTTCGTAGAAGAGGATCGGCGGCGTCTATAGATAAAAATGACACATTCAACAAAAACACAATATATTTTCATTTGATTATACACTAATGAAAACAAATTAATATTATACTCAATTTCTGCTAATAAATCCTTACACACTGGACCATTAACTCCCACAACCCATGAAAAATAATATCTGTTATTTATTGAAAACTAAAGTATTCTTAACAAGCGTTTGCTCGTTCTAAAAGGATGCTTACTTCTAAAATAACAATGCATGTATTCTTCATACTTCTCCTTAATGCACCTTAATTTAATGTGACATTTTTTGTTCAGCATCTTGCTTCTAACCATTGTTTCTTAAAAGCCTTTTTAATCTAGCCGACTCCAGCATCACAGAGCCATTTAAAAGATCTTTTGTCACAGTCAAGTGCTTCCTATTTAAACTAAATTGATTTGTGGTATATACCCAGCATCCCCAAGAGCCAGAGCTATGATACCCATAAATCAATAATGCCTTTATTTTTTCCTGAATGCATTTCTTTCTGATAATGTGATTACATATTAGTGTATATGCCACTCAATGTAAACCTGGCCTGGCCAGATTCAGAATCCATTTATTTCATATCAAGCATTTCCTGGCAAGATACATGCCATGTGTTGCTAGGGAATTTGAATGTATATAGACTACACAATTTCCCCCCCTCCTCAGGATCAATATGTCTTTCCAAAGTCCATGGAAAGCTTTTAATCAGGTTATATATATTTATGTGCTTTGCCCGCCCTTCAATAGTGAGGTACATTGTGCTGTGGACTTCTGTCTCTAAGATTGTATTTGTATTAATTTAAGCAATCAAGTCTGTCTATGTACATGTGCAAAGTAAACATGTTTTTGAAGAACTCAAATATAATTAATCGAGGTATAACCCCAGCATAATGAAAGGAAATAAAGAGGATTTATAAAGTAAGATATATTGGAGAACTGTGATAAAAGTGGGGAAATGTTGTAGTTGTTATCTTGAATAGTCATAGTCAATACAAAATACATGAAACTGCTAAAAAAATTACCTGCTACCACTAAGCTGTCAAGCTGTTTCTCACAAGAGTACAAAAAGAGAATATTTTCAAAGGATGAATGCCTTGAGCAGTCAAAGCTAACTAGGTAGGTGGTCCCCTCAGACACAATTACTGTGTGATACTTCAAAGAGATGTCAAGCAGCCTTTGCTGAGTCAGAAGCTACACCTACTAGGCTGTCCCATTAACAGCACTGAGACAATAGAAAATATTATTTTGACTTCAAATTGGTAGACAATTTCACAACTTTCCATCTTTAGTTAATGTTTTATACATATAAACATTACGGAAATACTGCCACTTGTGCACCACTGATTCTTCATGTGAAGTGAAGATCTATTCAAACTGAAAAACCTAATAAAACAAGGTTTAATGTTTGTCAGTCTGATTGTACAGTTGTTTATGCAACTTTCATTCAGTCACTTTCAGTTTTCACAACCTATGGGATGTCTTTGAACTAATTATTCAACTGTAGTTAACTCTTGTTTTAAGGGCAGCAGACAAACTTGTGTTTTTAGGTCGAACCAGTTTTACAGTGTACTGAAACCTAAAAACGCAATTGCTCAGTCTCAAGGAGACATAATGCAAGAATAAATCACACAGTGCATCTTTGTGACACAAGCACAGAACCCCTGGTGTGTTGTTACACAGATTCCCGACACAGTTCACAGCCACAAACAACATCATGGGATTTGGGGTGAGCAGAAGCAAGGTCGACTAATTATCTCAACACAAACTCTTTGGTGCACCAGAGGTACCACAACCCGCTCATTCTCTACTAGTAAAGCATCACACAGCATATTGCATGAAATATGTATGATACAGCAGCAGCACATGTTATTCAGGTCATCTGGAAATTCTATTCACTCACTCTGTGAAAACCCATTGCATCAAATATGAAAATATACATATTGCAGCATGCTGCACAGTCTACACGCACCAAAGCACTTTCAAGTTAAGTAGGGTCATTAGAACAACTACAAAACTGTAAACAAGAACAAGAAGTTCAGTTGGAAATACAAAACTCTCAAAGATACATTCATTACTGAAAAGCCAAATCATCCCAATATTTCTACCAGTAGATTCTCTATGCATAAACATAACTCGTATCTTTTTGTGTGCCGAAGAACTATATTATTGAGTGGATTGCTTCAGACGGACAGAGGACATGTGGGATTAATAAACTGGAGAACAACTCGCAGCAGCACTGACCTGAGTCCTGATCTGGCATTTAAGGGTCATGTGCAGCCTGCTATGAGCTCTAGAGCTCACTGTGCAGTGGGAACACACAGAAGATGATGCAGGTGGATTTTAAATTCACACTCACATGTATGTAGGTTGAACAAGCTGGTTGGTGATACCAAGCAACTACACTATAAAAGATGGGGTAGAAACTCTACAGTCCTCATTCTGCAGTTCAGCTGAAGCTAAAATGAAGCTTCAGCGAGTTAGCCAAGTCAAGTGAATATATATGCCTCCTGATAGTCATGTGTAGGTTTATTGACAGTGTTTTGTCCTGGAAAAAAACCTACCTGCTACTACCAAAAATTATCCCTTTACTGTTCCTTAGAAAGATAACGCTGCTCAGGGAAACGAGGGAATTTCATAGCACTTTTATTAGCCGCCATGGAGATCTCACCCTCTTAGTTAATAGATAGGAGGTTTTTTTTAGTTAGAGTTAAAGACAAATGTTTGACAAGCTAAATGTTTTCTGTAAAATTAAAGTATGTTAGTAAAGCTGTGAGAAGCCTGTGCTGTTTGCCCGATATAAGTTGTTTTGTCACAGTTTGTTTCCTGAATCTCTACAAGAGAAGTTACCATGACCCAAAGTTAGAAATGAACATACTTTCATTCTTTTTATACTAACTTCCAAGTTGAGTTTACACGCAGCCCTGCGTACAGCAGTTCTTATTCCATACTGATATATTACCATCAAACCGTTTCTGTGATTTGTGGCCATTTTAAATTTCCAATGTGATGTACCCCTTTCCCCCTTCTCTCCACTCACACCCATACACACTACTACCAAGACTAAAAAACACGCCAGTATAATTGACCCCACTCCCTAATAGTAATAGCCATCATGTGAAGAGAGGTGACAGTTTGGCATTCTGGGGCCAGTTTCTTGACAACTTGATTCACTAAAAGAGGCAATTGGGAAGAGTGGTGCTCTGGAACAGTTCCATCCATGCGGGTAAAGAGATAGTTTGGAGAGTGGAAATAGGCCCATAGTCAATCCACTTAAAGGAGGATTAATGCTACATGTGGTAATGCCCACCCCATTTTCTGACGACTACAGGTTTTGTTAAATGGCATATTAGTCATGAGAGATAAACTGGGTCCATTTTTGTCTGTCCTCACTGACAGAATGTAAGTTGAACATCTTACATTATCAGGAAAACCAATAAAATAGCTCTGCAAGCAACACTACCTTTGTGATGATTATAATGTTCAGCTGTCACTGAGACACACTGCTGTTTCAGTGCCATTGTTTGTGGTGTTGTTTTATTGAATTGCACTGTAATTAATCTCTAATTTTGTCTCTTTCAAGGACAAAATATTCAGTACTTTGTATTCAGTATTTTGTGTTTCAAGAGTCTGTATTTATAGTACGACCGCTGTCCTGTCTGTCCTTTCTCCTAGATGACCCCACTGTGCAAGGCCTAGACAAGTCCCGGCATCTACAAACAGGAGAGATGATCATTATCGTGGTGGTCTTGGTCATGTGGGCAGGTAGGTTTTTGTAGACTGTGTGTGGTTAATAATATTTAGGACAGAAGAGAAAGAAATCTGAACTGAACAGCAGGAAAAGCACCATAGGGCCTGAAAACCTACCCAACAGCTTCTTACAATGAGCAATAACATCCTACATGAACACAGTATTTTCTGACATATATGAGAGTGACAGTTTTGCAACATTTAACAGGCAACTGACAATCAAATCTGATCAAACCACATATGATTATACCAAGTAGCAAAGTTTTTTTAGAGTAAAACTCTCAATAAATAATAACTAAAGTATTGTTTTCCCAAACTGGAACCCAAATGTTACATTATTTTTTCATGAATATTTAAATACTTTGAAACCAAGCTTTCGGGGGCTGATGAATACAGAATCCTGACTTATTGTCACTGGAGCTGAGGCTACAGGTTTCACTCAGTTTCAGTTTTTTTATATTTGGACACTGATAGATGAATGTCATCAATAATCTAGCTTAAACACCTGATTAATGTTTTATGTGTACTTGCGGTGATATTGTCTCTATAACAACCCTAGTTCCTAGTCCTTCAGCTTGACACAGGTTATTAATAGGCCAATTGTCAATAAGCTAGGAGGTATAATTGGATTTTTTTCAACTGATCTGCAAAATGTTAACAAAAAATGTCACCGTTTATTGTCAGCCTCAATGATGAAGACTAATGATGCACATCTGAGAGGTCTCACACTGTAGATTACCTTGTAGCCTGATCAATACATTGACACACCAATCAATAAGCCACTAATAAAACAGTCATCCAGGAAGTATCGGATCCCCATTAAGAGGAAGTTAGTGTCCGAAAAACCAACGTAACTGAAGATCCTGTCCCTTTTAGGCTTTTTCACAACGGCGATGTCGAACCAACATCACGCTTCTCTGAGCATTCTCTGCATCTAAGCTCCCCATCCCAGTATGATTTTCTACTCCTTTGAGGAAGTGTGCTGATTAATGAAGTGTTGAGGCACAATGAGAAGTGGCATATCTGACAGGCTGCCAGGAGCTGGGTTTCCCGCCCACGAGCACGAGAGTGAGATGTTAAATAATACTAATGAGAAAACCCAAAGTAACACGGAGGCTGTGAAGAGTGGGAGTGAAAGAATAAAAACACTTCATGTGGCGTATTCATGAGGGACTGCTCATTTGCAGCCAGTCCAGTTTAAAAACAAGATTTAACGTATTCCCTCATTTTGCGAGGCATCAAGCCTCTTCAGAAGTTAATAATCTGAAACACATTGTTTATTTCTGTACTTATTTATTCATCTCTATCTCTTCATCCTTTATCTCTGTTACTATTAGTCTTGGTCTGAAAAAAAAATAAAATTATAAAGTAATTAGATAATTGCTTTGATATGATACAATCTCATCTGCTACATTGTATAATGTGTGTAAGCGGCTGTTGGTTAGTGCTTAAAATGTAACTGAAGTTTCTGCTGAGAAAAATGTCACATTATATTGAGCACATTAAAACATTACAATAAAGTGTTAACACTTAGAAGCAGACAAATCGCTTCTCAAATTACACAAATCGCTTCAGTAATGTAACCGTGAAACAGAACCAGTGTAAATGTATGTATGTAACCATGAATGCCTCTCTGCTACAGACACATTGACACGTAGCTGCAATATTGCGGAGCACTTACAGGATGCATGAATGATAATTTGTGAATTAAATGAATGACGTTATGCTTCTGAGTATCAGCTCCCGAGTTGTCATTAGAACTGCATATCAGTTTCTGAATATTTAATGATGGCGTTCTCATAAAAATTCATAACCTCAGTGAAGCAGGGAAGTTAATTGTACAGTACTTATCCAAACTGAAAAGCAGAACTGCATTTGGCAGATTGCAAAATGTAAGAAAGCAAACTCCATGGAGAATTACTGTCTTCCAAGCTTTCAGATAAAGGCACAGCCATCGCTCTCTCCCTTGGGAGCAGAATTCCATTATCCACATGGCCTTTCAACGTGCTCAGTTAGAGGAAGTGCTGACATGTCTATGAGTGACAGTCGCCGCCTCATGACTGAATTCTTGTCCTCTTTTGTGTGTGTGTGTGTGTGTTGCCCATCCCTCACCTACCGGCAGCTGTTATTGCCCTGTTCTGCCGGCAGTATGACATCATCAAGGACAACGACTCCAGCAACAATAAGGAGAAGGCCAAGCCATCGTCCGAAAGGAGCACGCCGGAGCACCACAGCGGAGGGCTGCTGAGGAGCAAGGTGAGCACGACTCCTCTGAATGAATTCAGCTCCTAAGATCTCTTCAGTATTTTTGTCTGAATTAATTTACTGCATACTGAAAACATGCACACCGGTGTCATCCATGTATCCCGACACAAACATTGGCTCCAGCGATCATGAGCCCTCAGTGTCTCTCTGTAAAGACGGCAGTTTCACCATCTATATCAAATGATTGTCCTGACAGCACAGACCTTTTTCACAGCAGACATTCTGACTTGTCATAGTAGGAGGAACTGAAGCAGCTAAATGGATTTCAGCCATCAGTAATTTTATTATTTACACCTGCACTTTTCCTACGTCTCAAAATGTCTTCTGTGAAAACATGTTGATGTGTTTTATGTGTCTGATGTGCTGGAGGATGTGATGTTTTGTCCCCACCGCCTCTTCGGCAATTCACAACTACAAACTTGGTTACGCTGCATTTAACACAATTATGTAGAATAAAGGTACATCTGTGCTGTACAGGGTGAAAAACAAGTACGCCCCAATATGCCATGATTAATGATGGATAAATTGTGGGTTGCTGCTTGATCAGTAACTAAAATATTGCCATTGCGTCCGTGTGGTTTATTCTTCTAGACTTTCTCATATAAAATAGTCATAAATTAATAGCAAGCAGCTGTTCCCATGGTTAAAATGCAAGACATACATTGACATTTATATGATTAGCAAATAACACTTGCATTTGGAGGCAAAAATGCTTATTTTTATTTAATTAGTTTTTTTTAAAACAAGTACAATAAATGATTACTGTTATCACTGGTAAAACCTTAAAAGGTCAGTGTACAGTGTGTAGGATCTAGTAGTATCTAGTGGTGTAGTTGCAAATCGCAACTCATTCGCTTCATCCTCCCTTTCAAAGAGCGAGGGAGAAACTATGGTGGCCGCGATAAAGGCTAACAATCCAATCTAGAGCCAGTTTTTGGTTTGTTCGTTCTGGGCTAATGTAGAAACATAGCAGTTCACCATGGTGACATAAAGGACTTTTAACTTTAAGTTTTCCTTTCTGGTTTGGAAGATTTAACTAATTTTATTAACAGTAATATCTATATCATTCGAGAGCGTACTATATGTAAATGCTTACCACTTTCTGGTATATAACTAGTACAGTAAACATTACTGTAAACTGTTGTGCTGAAACATTACCTTTAAGCATTAAGTTTAATACTTGAACTCATCTTCTTATAGACAGCACTGTTGCAAGAACACATCTCAACCACATAGCTTATTTGCTCATACATGGCAATTCATTTGATCCTTTTCAAACAAGAATTATTGTACTGTTACAAATGTGATGTCTAAAATAAATATTCTAAATATTCTACAGTGGAAAAAAGCTCTTGCATTCAATAAAGCACCCAATGGAAGTGGTATCTCTCCTATAGATGTAATCACAGGAATCTCCAAAGATCCATCCCTCAGCCGCAATCTCCAACGGTGCAAACTACTATACAAAAATAATACAAAAACCATACAAGCAGCATGTCTCTTACACCATATATTTATTGCATGTGCTACAATAATACAGAGTTGGTGGTAAATTAAATTAAAGATTTTTGTCGATGCCTACAAATATACAAAATTGTGCGAGAAATGCCTTTACACAGATAACAGCAGATATGCAGTCAAAGCTCAGTAATGAGGCTGTGACCAATCGATAATCGAGGTCATTTGCATTGTGGGTGTTGACCTCTGGCTAGGATTTAACGCAGCGACATATTGAGTTCTCTTGTTTAAATTAGCTGAGGGGCAATCGTTGTAGGATTTCTCACTGTGTTGGCTTATCTCTCCTTCCAGTCCTCATTAGGTGGTCGGGTGTTGATGTGGGGTTTCTGTCACCGAAGTTCTGACGAGGACTTCACCAACTCTCTCTCTAGTATCAGTCAATAACACACTTGGTTCTGTTCGCAGTAAGAAAAAGCCCTTAAGGTGTTTATTATTGACAGAATGACCACACACACACTTGCCAATAGTGCGAGAGAGCGGATGTATGGAGACAGTTCAGGGCCACATTTTTGTCAATTTGAATAAAAATTTAATTTAATATTTTAACTATTGATCTAGAAATCATGAAAATATTATGTAACTGAGAAATGTATGTCTTAAAAGTCTCTCAATTGAAATCTCCTGTAAATGTGATATATTTCTAATATTTATTTGAATAAAATATTAGTTTTCATTTTAAATGTTCCTCAGTTCTTACAGAACCAGGCTGTAAAAGAGAGAGATTTAATGTTATGACAGAAAAATGTATGACATTTTAATTAATTGAGAAAAGAATTTGCTACCTGACATGACTTGGCTACAGTATGCTCGCATTAGCTTTCAGCATATCATTGAACAGCAGTGTGAAATGCGACAGTAACTACACCTTTTTACTTTTTCACACTTGCTAAGCCAAAATCTTCCAGCAGTTACAGGGAAAGCAGATTATTAAAGTCTTCTGGCAATTAAATAATACTACCTGGGTTCATGGCTCCAATTTCCTTATCCAGATACAGCATTTCTTTACTATAGAGAAGAAAGTAAAATTGTAATTGTGATTTTTATTTCTCCTGTCTGTTGCAGTTTCATCCCTCCGTGCCGTCTATCAACATCATTGAAGTCTGAGAAGAAGAATGAGGCCCGAGTTAAAATACTCTTTCTCTTCCACCATCAATGCATTTTCGACCTTGCTCACTGATGAGGATAAAAAGCTTAAAAAACGTCTAGTGGGTCATCATCAGCGAATAAGGTCGGCCATGGCTGTCTTGCAAAAGACACACATGCATGCAGACAGTATTCGTAGGAAAACACTAAAACTACAGATACACACTCCCTACCACACACACACACACACACACACACACACACACACACACACACACACACACACACACACACACACACACACACACTGTACACTACATTAGCTAACAGAAACCTACTCCTGCAGGTTAATAGAACATGAATTAATGTTAACCCATGGTGCAGTTAACATTGATGTCTTTGCCAGGTGGTATGTTATTGCAATACAAGTCACATAATGCAACGTATCATCTCTGGGAGGCCTGTCTTCGTGACTTTAAATACGCAGTGTATTTTTGATATCGGCATGCGCGATTAGACACCACTTTCACCTGTTATAGGCTACTCAGCTCTAAATAAATCTACATTTCTCCACTGCAAATAGTGTTAATATATTGTCTGATCACAAATGTATATTAGTGCTGCGGGCAGGTTGTTAAAAATGAGAGAAAGTAAATACATGTCTAAAATCCATTTCACTACAACAACATGTCTTAATTTTTTCTAATTACTGAAACAAACATTTTCAGGACAACATTGTATTTTTTCATATTTCATACATGACAAACATTATGTCCGTACATATTTCATTCATTTACTAAATGAAGTTGCATGCAGGTCATTTGCCTGTAGAATAGCATTTGATGTGCATTCTAAATTAGATGCTAAACTGGAGAAATAAACATGATTGCAGTACTATGAAGCTGTTAATGTTTTCTTCTATTTTACGAGCTTTTAGAACAGGACCTATATCATCCAGTAAGTAGCTGATCTTGTACATTTCCTGACAATTGTACTTCCTGAAGTGTAAAATAAACCTTTTGAATGTCCCATTATTAAGTTGCAGAGAATGTGGAGTGGAGTTTCTCTCGCTGAAATGCATAAATCACTTTCACTGTGCACAAAATGCACTTTCGCACACAAAATGATCATCAACTGTCAATTTGCGAAATTAACGCTGGCCAAGGCTTATTGTACAGTAGAAAACTGCACATCACGTGCAAAATGCTTGCCAAGTGGCATTGCAAAAAATGTTTTGTGCTTCAAATTAATTAGGTAATGAAATAAGTGACACATTGAATCCTGATGTGTGCAGTATTTTGTGCATAACACAAGCATTTTGTCACTGAAACTGTATTGTTTTGTTTATGGCACCTGGTGCATCAACACCTTTAAATGGTTGCAAGGGAACACAGTAAATCTTAAATACTGACCTTATGGTGCACAAATAATGATATTTTTAAGAAATCTCCCCTATCTCTGTCTCCCAGGTCCTTCTCCATCTCTGCCCCTTCTATTTGTCTTTCTAACTTCTTCACATTATGGTTTTTATTTCATATTGTGAGCTTCTTGAGGTCAGATTCATAGTATTAAATCTACAAACAATGCTGCTTTTATAACTCATAGCTTTGAGATCAGACAGAAAGCCACTTGATGCAACCAGGATTGTGATGTGATGTAAGGGATAACAGGCAGGGATTTTGAAGGGATCAACTCGTGTCTTGTTAAAGCTCTTCAAGTCAAGAGCTGGCTCTCTTGTCAGTTTGACGAGATTCTCTGTTATGCTGTTCTGTGAACATGATTTGACCAGGACAGAGCTCAGAGGAAATCTATAAGAGCAGGACTGACATCCTATATTACAGTACGCTATGAAACTACTGCATGTATTTGTTCACTGTACCCAATAATAATGGTTCTATTAATAGTTAAAATTCAATCATTAAATGTTAAAAACTGCAGTTATCTTACCTAAATCTGCAAGATTTATCCACAATGAATCAGACGACTGCTGCAGAGCTCTACAAAACTAATTCAATGAAACATTTCACCTGGCCTTTAATCTAGAATGTTCCTGAACAAAAAAGCAATTACATATAAGTATCTAAGAATACAGCTCATCTTAAAATAGAAAGTGATTACAGCGTCCAAGGGATTAAAAATTAATATTGTACACCCTCCCTCTTTTTTCTTTTTTTTTTTATAACTCTCTGTCTCAGTGCAGCGCTGCAGACTTCTTTCCATTAGTTGTTCAGGTGATTTATGGGTTGTTGTTATGGCTGAGATAAGCTTAGGTGAGATTTAAGATGTGACTCAGAGATCCAAGTACATACTGCTTCTATACAAGAATAGATTTATAAATATAGGGTTTGCATAGGAGTCTGCTTTCATTACTGCAGCACTTGGCCCCAGGTTCCCACATGCAGCAATATTAACAACTTTCTTTGTTCTCCTCCTGTATTTTGACCTGAGTAGTGGGGCTGGAATAGATGGACAAGAAGGGCTGTCATTCAAATAGAAGTACAATTTGTGTATTTTAAAGTTAATTGAAGAACAACCTACTGCTGGTTATATTTAATGAGGCCTCTATAGTATTCTGTCACTACATTCTTCAGAGGTAAAACATTTGCTGAAGTTGAAAACTGCTGCCACTGCGTGTCCTAATATCCTAATTTTTTAAATAAATGCAACCATTTATCCTGGTCCTGTTTCACAGCACTTTTACACTGCAATATATCATACAAATAGCAGAAACTGGACATCAGATGGTTCAAGGCTGTGTCCTAAATGACTTGCACAGTCATACCTCTAACTATAATAGGAAATATTCACAGTACTTGCAGGTTATTGCCCTCCATATTCCACATTGTTAGTTGCAGTAGGTAAAACCTCAGCGTATCTGACCTCCGCAAGCCAATCTCAACAAATTCTGAATATCAGACGGTACAACCATTACCAACACAATACTGAGCCATTAGGGCAGCGTGGAACCACCTTATCAGCCACTAATAAGCCATTTCAAAATTGCGTTAAATAGCCATTAGTAATTAATTACAGAGTTATGAATACTAAAAAAGCTTCTCATCTGCAGATCCCAGGACACTATGGACAAATTAAACATCAGCAATGAACATATTACCCTAAAGTTAAACGAGGATTCCTGAATTAGGATCTAGTGAATTATAAACCTCATAATATAAAAGGAATTTGTGAGAATAGTTGGGAATATGCTAGGAGAACCATCATTTTTTCTTTCTTAATTGATTTTTTCCATTTTATCTAACCTAAATGTAATGTCTGGAGCCAGAAGTGTTTTCCTACTAAGGATGCCACACAGTGACAGTGTCGCTTTTAAGTGCAGTGTGTCATAACAAAAACTGTGTAGGCATCAAATCTATTATTCTTATTTATATTATTTCATCATCACAGCACCTCACAACATATGAAAACAGGATCAGACTGGCTGCTGTAGACTCTGCCAACATGATGCAAATGGTCTGTTTGCAGTGTGCTCAGATCTGCCAAAGATCAGCAGGGAGAGCAGAAAGCAGCGGAAGTGGAGGGAAGCAGACAGCCTGCTGTCATTGACTCAGCATCTCCAGTCAGTCAAGTATACTGATCAGAACAAAGCCAGTTAAAAAAGAAAGAAAGAAAAAAGCATTTTAAAACCCAAAACTGTGAATTGTGGTGACCACAGCACACAGAAGCAAAATACAAGTAGCAACAATGATGTGGCTGTCAATGCGGGACATGATATAACACAAAGTTTCGAGCGTCTTAGTCTCCAGTGAGTTCTCTTAAAAAAATATCAAAGTGCAGTTTGTCTACAGCTTTCCTCGGTGCTCACTGCAGGCGGATCTCCTTCCTGAAGAAAGGCCGGCTACTCCACAGAGTCTTTGGTTCAAGACAGGTTGGTCACATTGAGTTTTCTGCAAAGTTGAGTCCTGCAGGATTAGAAACGATGGGAAGATAAATGTAAAATAAATAATGTATTCTTAAACATTCTATATAAATAGTTATTTGATTAGTCATTTTCAATCCAGTGAAAGTCTGCAGACTAAAGCCTCTGTATCCCTGAATCACTGACGTCTGAAGCCTGAAAGTGAAACCTCGAGTGATCTTACAACAACTCATAAAAGTCCTCATTTTCAAATCCCTGTTAGTGTTGCACAGTCTGATAACCAGATTGGAGGCACCCTGCCATGATGCAGCATCCACATCTTCAGCAATTAAAATATTTGTCTACCTCTATAAACGGTCATCAGACTAAACAAACACTCACAGATAGCATTGCTGCCTCACAGAAACAAACACACACACACACACGATTGGGTTTTATAGCAGCAACCCTTGACACCTTCTCTGTGAAGTGTTCCAGGTGCAACATAAATATTCAATCCTTAAAGCAATTTTTCATAAATGTGATCATTCTTAATTTTAGGTTTGACAGTGTGATCAGTCTTTATAACAAGTGACAGGTGCAGCTATAAAAATATTCAATTGAACTTACTTGGTAAGGGAAAGTCACTCAACCCACAAGCTGCTCTCAAGGTGCAAATGGTAGCATACTGATATAAATAAAAGGGTTCAAGATCACTTCATCATAAATAATAAGTTATAATAATAAGTTCAGACATCAAAATGTTTCCTGTTCATTTGTGCCATTCTTTTTTTCAATCAAATGAACAGTGGGCTGCATGAATAGATGATGTGTCGATGTGATTGTGTCAATCAGACAGCCAGAAAAGATAACGTCCTTGCTTTGGATCAACCACAGTGAGCTGGAAAATGTTTGAGAGAAAAACAGTATGGATAAAAGAACCACATAAATCGGGCGCCATGATGGCACATCTGGTTGAGCTCAAGCCCCATGTACAACGACTGAGTCCTTGCTGCAGCGGCCATGGGTTAGAGTCCGACCTGTGGCCCTTTGCTGTGTGTCAGCCCCTCTCTCTCTGCCCCCTTCCCTGTCTATCTTCAGCTGTCCTACTTAATAAAGGGAAAAAGCCCCAAAAAACAACCACATAAATAAAAACGCTCACACGCTCGATCGGCTTGTCAGCTGTAGCTGTTTAATTTTTCTTTTTGAAGATGATTTGTTGAAACACATTATTGATCAAATTGTAGAGCAATTCTGGAGTCAAATTGATTTGCAACAAAAAGACACATTGTAATGATATTGTCTGGCACTGCAGAAGGCCAAACTGTATCTTCATAATTAAATTCTGTATGAAAGCAGAAGTTTAAGTGTTTAACAAAACACGGCCTTCTGCAAGTGGCCGTCGATATTCTATAACAAAAATTACCGTTGAGTGCAATGAACATTTTGTACAAAGTCTTTTATTATGCATAAATATGTAACAAACCATAACGGTTTCCAAATTCTGTAAATTTTTTTACACAGTTCAGGACAACTGCTTGTGGTTCACACACAAATTACTATTATCATAATATCACAACACTGTTGGAAACCCACTAATTGCATAGATAGAAAATAAGCACCTTCTTTGAAAAGTAAACCGGTAACTGTAAACGTCAGTGGTTCATTTGGGTAATAATAGCTTATCTGACGATGTGGAGATGTTCCTAATTTTTACAAGTCACCAAATATCTCTGGCCTCAAACACTTCACAGGCTGATTTGTATTCAATGCACTCCAGACTCAAATTGGTATGTTATACCTCCAAGTGCGGGTCTGTCCTCCCTCCCTCCCTCCTTCTCACTTGGAAAATTCTTGGCTGCGCCCAAGAACTGCATCAATTCAAGCTGGGAATCTGGCCACATCAGTGTGCTGCTCCATATAGTATAGTGGCTACATGAAACAAAACTCTTCCATTCAGCAGATCTATTTGTACCTTTGTATAAATAATACAGGAGTTGATCAGTTCTAAATAAGCAGCCAGAGGGGTTTGGCTGCAAAATCAAATGATATAACACTGCTTTTTTTGTTCAAAATCATTTAAAAAAGACTGGGTGAAAACTATATCCTAGTGTAATATCTACTGTGCAGGAACAACTACTGCGTTTATCCTTATGAGAAAATGTGCTTCAAAACTCTGTTATTTTGTTGGTCGTCATTATTGAAAACCAATTCTGAGTCTGAGAGCTCCTGAACAACAGCCCATCTCCAAATATCACTCAATAGCGCTGAATCAGCGGATACAGAAGCATCCACACATGAATCAATCGGTCAGTCAATGACGGAGCAGAAATGGTGAGAACATGTAAAAATCATTTCTACTCATGAGGAGAGACATTTGAGAGAAAGGCAAGGCAAAATGACAACACTCTGCTGACCTTGAACTTCACAGTCAATATTAAAAATGCAAACATGGCTCGATAGATCATCCACGGAAATTGCTGGAGGCTATTTATGATATCCAAACAGCACAGAGCTTTCTTTCAAATATGCAATGGAGCTGGTATTTCAGCTGGTCAGGAACGAAACAATGCAATTAAGCTTCATGGCGTAACCTGATAAGCCATCCAATTATTTGGCAGCGGGTGTCATGACAACAACGCAGAGCTCCCCCCCCCCCCGCCCCCAAACACCTCCCACCGCCTTAATGATTCTCATTCATGATGCCATGAATACAGAGAGATGGACCACTTCAGCCGGACTGGGGCACAATATTCCTCTTGACAGTGAACGTCATCTGAGTGGTGGATAAAAATAATTTGCAGAGTCTGAGCAGAGCAGCAATTCATCCAGAATAAGATTTGGGGCGAAGGACATGTTTTGTGGCACAGATTGTTGTTAAAAGAGAAAACTGTAGACTGTATCGATGAATGTAACAAGTGATTACTGACTTGAGAATAGGAGAGTTTATAATTATATACTGCACGTGGGTTACTAATGGCTATTTTGTAAAAAATAAAGCAATTCCTGCAGCAATAAAAACCACATACGATTACATTTGTACAAATCGTCTAACCTAATGCAAAACATACAAGCATCTACACATTCACATCTCAACAAGAGTGATAATTATTTAAAAAAAAAAATCTGTGTGAAGCTCTGATTCTATTCATTCTACGTTATTTATAATGGTACAATATGCATACATAAATTACGCAGCTTTGACAATGAAAAAATACAGCATATGGAAATAGTCTTCTTTACTCTAATTGTTTAGCCTTGCCATACACTTATCCTCATGACCTTACATCATCGGTATGCTTTGACAGTAACTTCATCTTTATGTACAGCTGACTGGATGAGGACACAACAGAATGTAAAATAGTCAGTACATTTTGGTTACATAAGCCATGTTCAAGTAAGACAGCACTGAAATTGATTGTTACAGGAACATCAGCCTGTTTCTGCAAGAGAAGAGTTTGCTGTTGGGTGTTCTCAGGTCATTTTACTTAAAGATCCCCTCCAAACATATATTAAGACGTATACAAATAGTCTGCTTGGAACAAGAATGCATGTGTTTTTTCCTGCAAAAAAAAAAAGAAAAAGAAAAAGGTATAATTTCCACATTAAAACACTTAAAAAGGGATCTACTCTTTCTACCTCATTAAAAATTCCAGAATCTATCAATACACAAAGATGTCTCCTACTTCACTGTTAAGTACATTGTCAGTGTATGTGCACTGGTGGCTTCAAGTTTCTACATCACATTTGGACCCAGTCTGACTTCCAAACTATTTGTGATGTCACAAATCATGCTTGTAAGCCCCGCCCTTTAAAATCAGATTTTCCATGAGCACAGAGAAACTTTCCACTTTCAGCAGATGAATGTGAAAACATCCTTCTAGTGTCAAACTGCACATACTTCATTCTGCACAGTGAAGCTCAAACATCCAACTGTAAGAATAAGAAGAAAAACATTTTTGAGTGGAGGGGGACTTTAACTAAAAGTAGCAATACCACAATGTAGAAATACTCTGTTACAAGTAAAAGTCCTGCATTGAAAATATTACTTCAGTAAAAGTATAAAAGTCTTTTAATTAATATGTAGTGTGTCTGTATGTATAATCGCTATATCACACTCCGTTTCATTCGTTAAATCAGCACAAACAAAGTGAATGATGAACATATATTTCATCTAATATCATGACTGAATATTTGTCCCATTTTTACTGATGACTTCAAACACTGGTCTTCCTCCACTGGCAGGTGACAAGATTAGAGAGCTTTTATGTTGAGATGACAACTTTATATACACAAACTTCTTGATGCAGGTGAATTCTTCATCAGAATTTATAACTAGAATCCACATTTGAAGTATTCCTTCAAGACGGTATTCATCTTTGAATAGAAATATGTAATTCCTGCTCGTCTCGCAGTGCTGCGTTGCACACTGTGTGCGCCGTCTTTCATCTGGCAGTTTGTGGGAATTTGAATATGGCAGGAGGTGGCTGGAGATGGTTGTTTACACTGAGTGGTGTGTGCTGACAGGCAGGCATTCACAGAAATAGCAGTTTATAATATCAGTGTATTAATTCTGGCTTCTCTGCAGCAGCCACAGAATACCAAACAGACCCTCTCTGATTCAGGTTGTGCACCTGGAAGTGTGATATGTTTTGCTCTCTGTTCAAGTGATAAATGCTGTTCTGTGATTTTTGTTGGTCCTGGGGCCTGTGGTATGATTTCTGTCGAATTTCTGTGGTTCTGCAAGTTGGGCAGCTATTTCCGGTATGTATTATTTAAACTCATTGTTGCAAATAGAATAGATTTTCCTGGGAGACCTCCAGAGGACTCAGAGCTGCATCGTCAGAGACGGGTTCGGAGCGGGAGTCGGCCAGTCTGACAGAGACAGAAAGACAGGAAGAGAGAAAGGTAATATTGCTACAGAGGTCAGAGGCAGTAAATATTTATTCCTCAGAATGGTTGACAGCATATGTAAAGGGTTAAACGTGACAGAAGAAGAGATAAAATGTATCAAGGGCACGCAGAGGATGTTGGAATGACTTTGAATGAATGGGAGAGCAGAGGTAGAGTGTTATGTGGACTGTTGATTCATGTTTCTATTTCTAATGAAAAAAAAAGGGAAAGACTATCATATGTAGGAAATTTACTATTTATGTTATTTAATATTTATCTTTTTAAATGGGGTTCCTTTTAACTGTGAACTACTGTAAGGATTTCAATCACTTCCTCAAAGAACGAAGGACATTATAAATTATAAATCTTATTTAATTTAGCCATTGTTTTTGAATGATGAGACATTTTAAAAATTCAGTCCTAATCGAACACCTCCTAATTCACATCCTTAAAAATAGCCCTGCAGGAACGTGGCTAAGTACGTGCACTTTTCTTGTACAGGTGGAGTCACTAATTAGCAGATTCTGGTAGTTCCCCTCATGAAGGGGGCATGTCAACTCATCCAAAATGATCTAAGGATGTGAACCACTCACCCAGATGATATTTATGGCCAGTCTGGTTTGGTGTGAAAATGGAAGGGTGGTATTCTGCCTGTCACATCACTTACCGGTGTCCATCTCCTCCACTTCCATGTTGCTGCATGCCAGGTAGAAGACACAGGAAATCATGACTTTGTGATTCAATAGTAAAGCTTTAGCACAAGATGACTTCCAAGTAGAGACTGTTCACAGAACTTCACTAAGACTCTAACAGGTGTATGCTGTCCCCGCTCCACCATGCATAAAGTGAAGAAACACTCAAAGAAGAATTTGTCACATTTAGATGGTTAAATTATTCAAATACTTCAGTACAGAGAAGGCATACATAATTACACACACACAGTTACATAACAGTCATTTTAACTCCAAGGTCACCCTTCATTTAAGAAATCTTAAATACAAATCAAACCATTTAATTAAACCCATTTGAACTGAAGTTGATGTCAGCAGTTGTCGGCACCAATTGCCCTGGTTGTAAGCACGAGCCTCCACTTGAATAACCATCTACTACCCAACAATTAGATTTTTTTTAATATAAAGGCCTAAACCCTGACCTCTGCTGATACAGTTAATTAAAAATGGTTCTACTGAAGTTGGTTAGGCTGCCCCAGCTGTAGCTAAAGTTAGGAGGAATATAAAGCACAGCTAGCGACCCCTAGAGGCTGTGCTGCTACTTTTCAAGTAGGATAAAGTGAACCACCAACCTACAGACAGACAAACTGACTCTCGATGTCAGCTTTAAATTCACACACTCTTTTGAAGGAGAGTAGAAATGAACTCAAGGGGTCTGGTGAAAGTCATTTTCTGTACAGGAGAGATCTATCAAACCTAAAGGACACAAATAAAACCCCTTAATGTTATTCCCAATGGTGTGTCAACAACTAATTTCTAAATATGTTTTATTACAAGCCACACAAAGCTCGTAAAATAGGACTGAGTGGTTGAGGATCTTCATGATATCTTCAGAATCTAAATGAATGACATACTGCTTTGCTATCTGAGCAATATCTAATGCTTGACCAGTGGCCAGAGCAGAGCTTCCAAAACGTTCTCCAACCATGGCCCTCCTTCACAACCAAAAACAGAAAATAACTAAATATAGAAACACCAAGTTGCACAGTGAGTTTGTGTACTGTATTTGCCGGTGTTGTGTTTTCTCACATTGCAGCATTTTTTCTACATGCTGCCATGTGTTTCATCATTTGCTTGTGTTTTGTCTATTTTGTTGATCTTTTCAGGGGACAACGTAGTCAGAAGGTGTGATCCCTGAACATTCAGAAAGGTGCCCAAAGACATAGACCACGACCCTGCTCTGCTGGTCTAAAAGCACTCCCAAAGTCAGATGTAACACTGAAGAGGTGCGACAGCCATGACAGCTCAATGTGATCCAGAGTCTTCAGTGTTTCAGGACAGATTTCATTCACCGTGAGCTTGACATCCTTGCTGACCTCTGCGGAGGAGGTCTGCTCTAACACTCCGAAATCCTTCAGCATTTCTTCTAGTGCATCAGATTTAGATGCTTCTCTAAGTGTTCCACCTTCCTCCATTTGACAACTTGAGATCAGTATTTCCTCATCCCTGCTGAGAACAGCCTAAGCAATGACCTGCCTCCCTCTTCTGATCTCCCTCCTCGCACAGCCGGCCTCCACGCAGACACTTCTGTATGGAATCTCTGCCTCTCATTTACCCATTTGCTTTAATCACAGCGTTTCATGCTCCAACACAACAAACGCATCTATTAGCCGCAGGCAACACAACTTAATGAGCTGCTCTTCTCTCTTTATGGAGGCATAATACGGCACTGCAGGACACGTATACACATATCCGCGGGTCGTATGAGGAAATGAAAAGCCATGCCGAGTGCTCAGACACTCACTGGACTGTTTGGCCTACATTCCCAACAATCTGTTGTGCATGGAGGGGCACTGTCAAAGAGTTCTGATGAGTTTTGAGTTTGAGTGTGCTAAGAGATGGACCAAGTGCGTATATATATAATATAAGGATTACTTCCATCACATCTTTATGAGCCGAAGAGCAAGCGAGTAAGTATTTCATACCTGTCAAGTCTCACACTTTACTTGTGAGATACATTTTACTCTCTCTGCAGGCATCTCACAGCCATAAAATGAAAATTTCACAGACTGTCACACATTCAAAGAAAATAAAAAGGTGTTGCATTGTAATCCTAGTTCAGTGATAAAGTGCTGATGAACTGTAGAGTTCACTTCCTGGCTTCAGTTTCTGTGCTCCTGACAGCTCTGTCAGGAGAGGTGGTGATCATGTTGGCAGTAAAGGAAGCAAATGTAATTTCTGTTGTATGCAATGGTTCAAGAGTGGCACAGGACTGCTCACTAGTTACACGATTTCTACAGTTAATCATCTTAGTGTTCACATGCATTGTTGATATATAATTATTCATACTTGTTAATGAATGCTTGCAAAGATTATCAGTAAAAATTTAACGGCCTACTGCAATATTATTTTGTCCAATCTGACAAAATGAGATTAAAGAAACGACAGGCAGACAACTCTCTCTATAAAATAAAACAAATATTCAGACTAAAGGAAATTGCATAAACCTACAAACTCAAACTAATACTCTTAGAACTGAGGGGACTCTTGAAGAACTGAACAGAGGTTGCTCCCCGGACGTGGACAGCCTCACCTACGAATTGGTACAAGGTGACTGAAGAATAAATTAGCAAAAATATTAATACTGGTGGTAAAAAAAAATGAAATGCCTTTCTCATGGAGAGAGGCAGTTATTTACCTAACTCTTAAGGAGGGCAATAAAAATGCAAGAATGTTATCATTTAAGACCTATAAATGTACTAAATTATAGGCTAGACTAGATTATAGGCTTGAAATATTCATGTTATGTCCACTTTGACCAGACTGGTTTCATTAAGCAGTGACAAACAAAGGAAAATGTCAGAAGAAGATTACATATATAATACAACAGAAAAATATGATCAGCCAAGATGCCAGAAAGCTTATTTACATTTTTACATTAAGTCAAATATGGATTTCATGCTGCCTTCATAGAAATGATTCAAACATTAAATCGATATCCAGAGTTAAAGTAAACTGGCACCTCACTGCTCCATTTACTCCACAATGGGGAAGCAGACAAGGATGTGCTCTCTCTCCTCTTTTATTCACCATATTTATTGAGCCCCTGTGTCAATGGATTCATTAGAATCACAATATAAAAAGAGATTTCAACTATAATAGGCGGGGAACAAATGTTGCTGTTATTTGCAGATGATATTTTAATATATTTAGAATAATCCACACTATCCACAATCCAAAAACCCAAACAGATATTTTGCTTAGACAAATATGGCTCAATGTCTGACCATAAACACAAGTAATTGGTTTTAATTATGAACTTACAAAGACTATAACGGAAAACAAGCATTCATTAAACCCCCAAAGAAGACTTTACAATAAACACAATTACATAAGTTATGCATATGACCATTCCAATCGTTGTTTGTACATAGATCTGTTTGGTAGCAACAATGGATGATCAGTAAATATGGCAGGAACTTGATTCCTGTTCTTGTGGAATTATTGTTTTATTTGTTTTGTCCCCACCTTTATACATTTGAAACATGAGAAATATAAAGTAACTTCTTATTTAAGTTAACAATTTAGAGATTAGTTTTTTTGTTCTAGGATTTCATTTTATTATTAGGGTGTGAAAGGAAATTATGTATAATTATGATATATAATTTATATAATATCTTATATATTTATATAATGTATCACTGAAAACAGGTTGGGAAATTTACTGTGTAGAGTATTTGTGATTCTCTTACTGTAAATCTCAGAGCTGCCAATGAAAAATCAAAAAAATCCGTCTCACTGCAACTACAGACAAAATGAAGACATTTCTGCCAAATCCCCTTTCACAATATTATCACTTATCACAGTGAAAACTGGGCTATTTTCTTCTAATAATTCAACATATTAGTAGTGTTATATAAGGTAGTGGATCAGGTCACTGCCAACTACTTGATATGTCCATTTATTTTGCCTTAATTAGAGCTGACAGCTGCTCGACTCTAAAACTGTCTTGTTTTATTCAGTTCTAGTTTAATAAGACACCAGAGGTTTACAGCACCGACAGTTATTACAGTTGATTGTTGTGTTAAGTTTAAAGAAGCACTTAAGGCCAACTTACAGACAGTATGCTGATAAATCGACTGTATCAGGAGCTTTGTGAATTGGTGTTTTTTTTTTTACTTTTTATTTGTACTGCTAATAGCAGAACATTTATATAAATCTATCTTGGGTTTCTAAATCTCTAAAAATTACCACAGCAGTTAGTGACTACCACCCAATCAATAAGGGCCTTAGCTGTAACCTTGAGACAGCGGTTATCATACATCCCTTCTACATCGGGTCATTGGCATGGATGTAGTGTCGTATTTTCGCATTGAGTTACTTGAGAAAAGGAGACCATTGCATCTCCCTCTCTGTGTCCTCCCGTGTGTGAATTTCAATAAAAATCTGTGTCAGTCAATATGTCAAATGAAGGTTTTCGTATCTAAAAGAGTCTGAAAGGTTACTGACAGCTGACTATCACCCTCAGTGCAACTGTCATCCTCTGAAATTGCTCTACAGTATTCAAAAGGAAATCTATTTTTGTTTGGAATTGGGTTCAACATAAAATTATTTTCATACATTTGTTTTTCTGGAGGTAACATTTAAGTATTTTGTGCCAATCCCACCTCCTTTCATACATTAAAGAATGTATGCCAAGTATTGAGCAGACTTGCAGACTTCATAGGCAAAGGTTACCTTGAGAACGCATCGTCGAGTCCATCCTCCACGTCCTGTTGGGACATAAACAATATGAATCAATACACACATAAATTACCTCAAATCACAATCCTGCTGCTTCTGTGCTGTCAAGCTCCTGTGCCTCTTCACTGAGTCAGCCATTTGTCATAACTTATTTTATCCAAGTGACACATAAACAAATTGCTGAGGTAAAGAATCAAACACAGCTAAATTTATATTTTTGATGTGTACTTTTTGCTCTCCTCACTGTGACTGTATGACAATAAAATCAATATTCATATGGCAACATTGCATGACTTACACAAGTCTGGAAACATAGATAAGGAATCCCACACATCTTTGCTCTACTTTCCCTGCACTAGTTTTTGGGAAAGCAAGTGATCCAACCTACTGTAATCACCATGCATTGTTTTAATCTAAAAGATATTAAGAGTTATGATAACATAATTATCATTCTGTCCGACTCATACACTGAAAATAATTTGACCTGATGTAAAGAAAACAAAGAAGGATTACGAGAGTATCAAAAGATCAAGTTGAACTAGCCGATGAAATTTGACTCTATTAAATCGTAATTTCTTCCAATGACACAGAAATCCTATTAGGGAGAATACGTAATAATGAGCACATATGTGAGATCAGTCAGTGGGAAAGATATTCTAATGAATATGGTGTCACCTAGTGTTAAGAACCTGTAAGTGTACACCAGGATGGTGACAGATGAGCCTCTGCAGCGTGAACATTTACAATTTTAAATTTAAATACAGACATTTTACATTTTACAACATCATTACTACATGTAAGTACTCAAATTATAGCAGCAATAAGTAATTACTGGTGTACTTAGAAAATAACTACCTTTTTAATGATAGAAAACTACTGAGGCAAACTGAGCTCACAGTCACACACCCACCACAGCAGTTTGATCTTTAAATTTGAAACACTGAACTTTAAGAAATGAATTTAGTAGACTAACATTGTTGCAATATTACGCTACGATTAAGTATAGAGTAGTGTTGCTTTCCTTTGCAGTGGCTTCTTTTATCTGTGTAAGTCATCGGGCGTGACAATAAAGTTGTTTTGTTGAATATTTGCTGGTGTTTGTCAGGGTTTTGTTTGCCAATGGACACACTGCTCTCCACATAGGTAGCCCTCTTCTTTGGTAGTCATACTACAAACCCAGCACAAGGACCATTTTAAATTTCTATCAATTAAAACCTATAAAACCAAAAGTTTTAAGATGCTTTTTGATTGTCCTGTCTTGATAGTAAACAATTTAAATTACACACATGCAGGTTTTAATACTAGGAGAAAGGCAATGATTTACAATATAACATAAAAAAAATATTAGTGATGCTCCAAGCTGACTGACTGGTATTGGCATAAATACTGGTCTCATTAAGCTGATGTCAAAACGTTTATGGCCTCATGCTTACATAAACATTATACTAATGAGTGAGGTGTACAGATTTTTTATTTGGGAAAAAGACAGTACTAGCAGTACCCTGAGCTGCTGTCTCATAATTCAATATCAGGAGGGAAGTTTCTGTAGCTAATCTGTCACTAATCTGTCAAAAACTGATATAATAATTTGGCACAATCAGACCAATTAGTAGTTTGGTGACCTACCCAAGAGTCATGTTTGATTGGTCGCCTTCGAGTAGGGTTACTACGAGGTGAGGGCGAGCTGAGCGAAGCAGAGAAGAAGGGCCTCCGGAGCTTCTCCTCTATCCCAACAGGCTTGTGTGCCTCTGGATCTGAGAGACATGACAGGGAAATAAGGTGAATAAGCAGAGAGAAGTAAACATGGAGGACACAGAAGGTGAGACCGAAAAGAGGAAAAACGATTGTGCACATTGAATCAGCTTTTCTCTTTAACTTTGCAGTCTGCAGCTCAGAAGTCAAACATCAACTCCAGCCTGTGGCACTCACAGCTTTCTCTGCAACAGGCAGAATTTAAATAATTTCCATAAAACTTTCATACGCCTCTCTGTGCCCGAGTTACTCCCGAGGTCCTTGAGGCTTTCACATCACATTTTCTCTCTGTCCTCGGGCCACTACAGCTGGAAGCAGAGCAAATTTGAATTGGAAGAAGCTGGAAAAGCCAGCTCTTAACTAACAACAAACTGAATGGATGATTAAGTCTCATTTTGCAGACCCTCTGACCCCCCCGAGGAGTGGAAAACATTTTGACCTATAAATGTCACGGCCATTGGAAAGTACTTAAAATGTACTGCTCCCCTGAATGGCTAATGATTGGTGTATAATTAGGTGATTTGTCCTCTGTGTATGTGAGAAGTGATTGACGCCAGTTAAATTTGTGTGTGAGAGGGGGCACACTACAGAATTACAAGTCTTGTTGTCATGTGCACGCCAGAAGGTCATTGTAAAGTCATTATGCAGCTTTCTATAGTAACAATAACTTAATCGTGTTCACTGGAACTCGGTCTAAATCTGCATCTAATTACTGTCTCGTTTCAGTGACTACAGCTGTCATTTTCACATTACTAATCAGATCATTGTAATCTTGTCAGTGACGGACAGTCTCTTTCTCTCCAGCCCCATACAATACATCGAGATTACATAATCTTTATCCTCGTCCTCCGAGAATTACAACTCCAGAATTATTCCAGGTCAGTTACAGTTATAACATTATAACTGTAAATATTACAGCCTCTGACAACATGGTGTCAAATAAAATATTAAGAATTCCTCACTTTAAATATTCATAACTAAATGAGCAATAATCAAAGCTAAATTTCATTTAAAACCTCCTTAATTATAGACCGGTTTCCGAGCAACACGGGGAGGTAGACAAGAAGCAAAGCTGAATGACTGACAGCTTATGAAGACATGTGAGGTTGTTTTTGTGCTTCAAACTGATTGAATCACAAAAGTAATGTGTGCAAAATGTCTATTATCAAAGGAAGCATACCTCCTGGTGAGCTCAGTGTGGATAATTAGCTGTCAGCTCTAGTGTCATGGTCAGTGCCATGAATTTTATATGGTGTAGAGTATTGGAAGATAGTGGATAGTTCCACAGAAACTGGTAAGGAACAAACACTTGCTTTAAGGTCAGACACACAATCTCACACTTTGTAGCTGCTAAATGAATTGTGCGATCGTTTGCAGGCTCTATGTTCAGTGCTTTGATGATCAGTCTGATGTGCATTTTTTTATTTGTTCCAGTCTTCGACTCGGTAACAGCTACACAAACTTATAGAGGGAACAAAACTGTGTGGCTGATAAATAATTCCTGTATACACAGTTTTTTGTGAGTGATGCTTTGCCTATATACACCACAGTCCTTTCTGATATGACTATATATGATGTGTCTGGTATATTTTGAGGAATGTTATGAATAACCAGAGTGCATCTGTGTTCTTAATTTCTGCAGCTATTTTGTGTTGTGTTGTCTTATTTTTTGATTTTGTGCTTTTAAGGCGTGCTGCCTGTTTGGGAAACACGCAGGTCATTTCTCTCTACCTGTATGGGAAACTCATCAAGGTTAAGGGAAAAATGCAACATTTTGGGAAACATGCTTATCAGCCTTCTTGCTGAGAATTAGATGAGATACTGTCAATGATGAGAACACATTGTGGGTTTACACATAACTGCTGGTAAAAGTTTTTACACTGTTTTTGTATGGAAACAATATGACTTAATGTGGATCATGATACAATGAAACAAATTAGTGAGCTTTAGAGAGGTGCCGTAAATTGGATGGATTTCTTTTTTTTTTTACTTTAGACAAAGTCCATGTAGCTGTTCTGTTTCCCCATCTCCAATCTTTATGTTAAGTTAAGCTATCACATCCTGTTTCTAGCTTTATATTTCACAGACAGTCCTCTAAAGCCCTGCAAGAAAGTAAAGAATCATATTTCGCAAAATGAAATTCACTTGTTGTTTGTTGCTTGTTCACTTGCGGCTGAAGATAAAGATTAACCCAACTTACTCATAATACCTGCTGGAGCACACTGAGTGTCTGCTGTCTCTGTCTGACCATTGCTTGCTGCACAAGAACAGCAGGTCCTCGCCTTCTTACTTTTGTCTGCAGACAGAAAAGAACAGAACTAAACCATAAGTACACTATAAGATCCGTCTAAGGTTGAACAGTGTCAGCATTTCATCATATGGCTGTTTGCAATTCCAAATTGGTGACACTTTTACGAGCAGGAAGTACAGTTGTGTGTCATTTATTTAGCCCAGTGGAGACTGTGAAGGTCAAAATGAGCATGGGAAGCATTTTCTTTAACTGTCCTCTCAACTTGGCTTGAAAACCAAAAGCATTCCCAGTCAGACAGATTGGATGAATTAGAGCCTTTCCCTCCTTGTATTTTTTTTCTAAATAGTTCAAAAGGAGAACCTTTCACTGAACTGTCTCGATGTCACCTTCCTTTTGTCCAGTGAACTCACCTTCCTGAGCAATCTCCCAAAGATCGAGGGCTACTTTAAAGGCCTGGGCTACCGTTAATGTCACAGCCTGAGCCTGGAGAGAGAAGAAAAAGAACAACACAAGAATGAAACAAACACTGAAATCAAAATGAACGTACTGAAGAGTTGTGATTCAATTGCAGTCAAGAATTGTTTTTGCTTGAACATCTTTAGCCTGATTATTGAGATCTACTGTAATAATTGGACTTATAAATGTTCAAATTTCTTGTATTAACTAAACATTTCTATTTTGTAATATGATTTTCTTAAAACGGGTTGGATTAAAACAGTACAGACTAATGAGCTGTGAGGGGAACTGCCACAAGATGGAGCCACACACCGTCTACATTTTTACTACTTGCTGCCTCAAGTATAATTTATCATATGTACTCAGTCCCCAAGCAAACTGACCACATGATTGAAAGTCCAAGAGCATGTATTCCACACATTGAGCTAGATGTATACAGGTATTTACACCAAAAACAAGTGTATTGCACACTTACAATCTTCTTCTTTTGGCAGAGAAATGCATGGCACTCCAGCGTCTCATTGAACTGACTCTGAGAAACGTATGCAAAGACCTTATCCTGAGTTTTATCTGCGGTGCAGTACGAGATTCTAGAAGAGAAAAGATAGAAAAACCCAAACAAACATTATTCCAATTTACCAACACTATCAATCCACCTGACATAAAGGCATTTATGATAACAAATGAGTAATTGCAGCCGACAGGAACTAATGTGTAACATGAATGTCTCAAGGCAAATCTTTTTAATCATGGGACACACATACAGAACAAAGGACGACATGTACAGTGCATCAGCTGCAGGCCTGCACTCTTAATCAAACCTCGTACATCAAGATAGGCTTCACTGCATACACGTCAATTTAGGCCATAACTTTGTTTTTTTGCACTCAACCTTTTGCATATGCATAAGCAAACCAATCATAGCAGGATGAGAGTGGTGGTTATGAATATTATGCTGAATTAAGTCCTGCAGCTGGGAATGGTTGGAGCAGGAGACAAGTGAGCAGCACCGACATCCATGAGAGATGCTTGAAGCTGGGACTGAGCCCTTCAGTACTTTCAGATAAAGCTTCTTTCATGCAAAAATTAACTCAAATGTGGATATAATGTTGCTTTGTGGTTAAGTGTTATGATAATGGAGGTACAGGGACAGCGTTGAATTCACTATATGACTTGTAGGTAATTCACCAGAGTTTTGTTACATTATCTCTATAGAAAGGCATAAAAACCCTTCGAAAATGAGATGAAGAAAACTGTTTTTTGAAGTAATGTCCCTGATGGTTGCATATATATATATATATATATATATATATATTGCGACTTTGTTGAAAAAACCTGTATTTCCACAGTCAGTGGGAAATGGAAAATCTTGAATTACAAAATGATCTCCACTGTGACGATATTGCACTGGAGATCTCATTCCCAACAGTCACGCCAAATCTCTCCTGGATCTAATTTCTGGTTTTCAAGAAATCCGAATGTCTGCAAATCCAGTGACAGCCATGGCCCGTTTATTTTCAATGGTTATCTAAAAAACAATCGAGACAAAGTCCACCAAGCCATTTTTCTCCCCACAACAGCCCGCATGGGTTCACTGAAGCAACGGACACAAAACCGATGGATTTGTTTTGCCAGATTTTTGTGCAGGTTATAAGAAGCAGTATTGATCTTGAGTCACCCTGTATGTCTATGTGAGGTTGTTACCTGAACCAGCAGTGCACGTCATGTTTGTGGCTCATTTACACATCTATTTAAAGCAACCGTGAGTGATGCACTTGACCTTTGTTGCCATAATTAAACAGGCAACCTTTATTATAACCAACACAAGGACAAGATTGGGTGCTTTTACTCTCAGTGTGCCAGGTATAGAACTCAATGGGCCAATTTTGTTTGTTGTTCTCTGGCTAGAACACATCAAATAATTGTATCTCAATTAGACATCGCCTCTGCACACATGTCATCATCATTAGTCAGCGGGTGTATGGGTGGCTATATATAATATGCCGTCATTACACTAACTTGTCCACTGTATCTGCAGCAGGCAGCCCCTCAATTACTGCCCCACTTTGTGAGGGGTAATTAAAATGAAGTAATTTATTCAATCAAACAACAAGCATAAACTCACCAGCCTTCAGATTTCCCTCTCAGATTGTTTGCTGGCTTGCACCGCTGATGCGTGACCCACATTGCAATGCCCAGGACACCCGGCTCTGTATTTTCCCCCTCTCCCCTGTGCTCTAACTTATATTTGGCCCTTAATTGCGGAAAAATGAGCGGAGAAAAAGTTGAAAGAGTTGACCTATTTAAGTTTGGAAAACAAGTGTGATGTAACTTGTTGTTATTACTCTAACTGCTCAATATAAACTTAATTATCATCTTATTGACATATTGTCTACTTTCTTTATTTCACTTTACTTTTTTTGTGCAACCTCAATTTCACTTTATTTCACTTATTTTTACTGTTTATGCTTCTGCAGATTTACACTTTTAAGTTGTTTACCAATAATATTAATAACTGTATATATTATTTCTAATTATAAAGTAATTAATTATAATCTGTAAAATTGTTCACAGAACCAGTACTATCAAAAGTTGGTAAAGCAGTTCTGTTCTTTCCATCTAGGGAATTAATGCTTTAGGGTTTTAAAAGACAATATACCCTAACACACAAGAACACAATGTGAAAAAGGGCTGTGCATAAGTTATTTTAAAAAAAAGGTCTCGCGTGTTCTACAAAGTGTTACAAACGCATTTCAATAGGAAATGCTGTTCATTGTCCACAGTATGTTGTTAGATTTTCCAGAACATTCAGCTGTAAGCAAAAATAAAATGAGCAAATAGGTCAGTGCACACACAGTGTCTGTCTAACTAGCCTTATCAGCAAGAATATGACTGTAATATTAACACTGAACTGTGTACACAATCAAACTATGACGATGAACAGGATGGAAATCATGAAGTTTGCAAGAATTTTACAAATATAAATGTACAATAAAGTATGGGTATGTTCATTATAATATGGCATCCACGTGAAAATAATGTGAATACATCTCATTGGAGTGAATACACATTCAAGATTTCATCTTCTTAGCAAAGACACACATCTTCTGTTTACATATGGAGTGTGATGAATACATATGTGTTCAAAGGTCTCTTTAAAATCCCAGTGCGTGTAGATTTCACTCATTAAAAAAAAAAACATTTTAATTACTGCCACCAATGTGTCACACAATGGATCATATTCACAAAATAAGCCTTCAGCTTGATACAACAGCAGAAAATAAATAAATAATTGACAGCATCACAGAGTTTTCACTAAGCTTGAACAACAGAAGCTGAGCTGTCAGTCTGTATCATATCTCCAAAGGGGCTCTGTGGACCGCAAGCCTTTGATCTCCTCACTGTGTAGAGCACTGGTGTTTGTGAGGCAGAGAGGGAATATCAATGGAAATATTTAAATATTTACAGTACAAAGCCTGAACAGAACTTCATACATCAAAGCCTCAAATTCTTGATATACACTGAATAAAGCAGGTACGCTCTTTAACACAACAATGAACTACTTTTGTCCAACTTTTTACCCGACATTTGCACAATAATGAAAAGCAACCTTTTTGTTTTTGCTGCAGGGAGGCAGTCATTTGCAAAAGGTTGAATAAAAGCAAATGTTCAAACAAACAGAAAATTGCAAAATGAACACTGCCAGGTCCTGTATATCCCACTGACCATGGATCCTGCACACATATCTCACAAATGTAATGATATGTCAGAACAACGTGCATCATTACCAAGTGGAGTGTCAGTTATGGTTTCAGCTCTCCTTTTCTGACCGCATGTTTATGCCGATTGATAGGCTGGTCGGTCTCTGAGAGCTCTTGTCAGAATATGAATCAGTAACACCAGTCCAGATGGAGGCTGAACACCTCACAATGTTCTGCTCGTTGGCAGATGTAAGTATTCCTGTGCCTGTATGTCTTTTCATTATTTATAAATAAAAATACCACGGAAAAATAAGACTGCAAGGTTGTATTAGTTTTCGATACCTGGGTTTATATAGTGTTAGTAAGTACACTAAAGCCTGTCAATACTGAAAATCAAAACAAGCCAGTCAGTGGCAATATGTATGTAAGGTAAAAACAGAAAATACACAATTTGTTTTGTTCCACAAAAAAATACTTAAATTACTTGTGTAATTTGTACAAAAACAAAGTGTGACAAAACATGTTGTGGTTTTATAATAAAAAAAAAAAAAAAGTATGTTTTGACACATCTGGGCTCACAGTTTCCACCTGCTTTCAGTCTCCAAAGCTAGGCCAATTGACTGTTGGCTCTGGTATCTCATTACATGAGATTAGATATCATGTGGGACTTTGGCCATCTGTATATATAGTTACATAAAATTGAGATTTCCTGGTCACCACTCTTACATGTGTATTTCTAAATGTCAATATAAACATTATTATATATTATTATTATTATCTTTTCTGTTGTTGTAGAACACCAAGAAACCTTCTGTGTGGTTTAGTCCTAATCCCTGCCAGCATACCTACAGCAGCACTGATGCTAATGTTGGAAGATCGAGCTCATGAAAATATAATTTGAGTGTCCGGTGTTGCAAATAAGATGCACTGTAAAGAGCGCTGTCATGGCTGCTGAATTCATTATCAGGTTGTGAAACTGTTAAAACGTCAATGCGAATGATACAGGATGATAATGCACTGCATTGTGTGAAGGGGGTGTGGGTAGGTGTGGATGGATGGGGTGGGAGGGTCATGGCTGCGAGGATCCTGTTTCCAATGCGATGCACAATGTCTTCCTGTTTTTTTTTTTATCCCACACTAAGCTACGCCTGAGGGAAACAGCCCGGCTTCCAGTAAGAGTGAATACACAATTAACTCTACAAATACACACATTTCCATACACACTCACTCTGTGAGGTGCATACTTAAATGCTCACATGTCCATCCATCCATGGACGTACAGTACGTGCACGCATCATTCACACATACACACCTTCCAACTCATTTCTCCCTTATGCCCAATAAACAGTCTTATTTGATACATTCTCTCACTCCCCACTATCTGCACTCCACTTTCTTTCACCCTTCACTTGCTACATTGGCCAATAAATGGATTATGTTAACTAAAATAAGACACAAGAAAGGAGGGGGGAAGAGGGGAAAGGGGCTGTAAGGAGGCAGAGGTGGGGGTGGGGTCTCATAAATGGGGCAAATCAATCTTCAATCAAACCGAGCGCTGCATGTGGCCCCTCAGTCTCTCCTGTATCTTTACTCGGGAGTATTGGCAAAGACTGGCAGCGTGAGTTTCAAAGTGGGCAATTAGTCGTGGGTATTCCTGCATTCAGAGCTCTGTTTATGTTAATATGAGCAGAAAAGAGAGATTTCTTTCTAGACAGTAACAGGGAAAGGGGGAAGGAGAGGAAGGGAAGATAAGGAGAGAAGAGGAGGAGATCAAAGACGAGGCTGATTCTCCTGGTCTGTGGTCTGTTACCACTGATAAGGTGGATCAGGAGGGGGTGCAGACCTGTGCACGCGCACGCGCACGCGCACACACACACACACACACACACACACACACACACACACACACACACACACACACACACACACACACACACACACACACACACACACACACACACACACACACACACACACACAATAATCACAGTCCAGCCATATGATATTTAGACTGTAATCCTCAATGACACGAGGCCCAGTCTATATTACAGGATGCTATCCAGAGAGGAGAAGCCAGCCAAACAGATCACAATCCACACACACACACGCACACCACTGATTTGGTAGAATGAAACCTAGCATGGTGCTGAAAAAGGTTAGCTTTCATTGACACAGAGAGACAGTAACAGACAAGCCCCAGCGACCCCCCTCCTGGCCTCCCATTATTGGTTTCCAAGTGAATTGATCAAACATGAGACTCACAACAGCTCTGAGCAGAAAACTGCTTGGTTTAATCCTGCAAAAGGAGCCCAAGCTATGGACAGAGGGGATAGTGACCTACATAGAGGGTATCAGTTTCTTTGTGTATCAGATGAAGCCACTTCTTTGTTTTTAGGACTCAACATGAAGGATTACCAGCATTGTTGGGCATAGGTGATGAATCATTTAATAAGAATGAATAAATGGAAAGACAATAATTTAGTTTATGAACCATCCATTTAATAAACCCATGTCAATTGATTATGTATTAAGTCATATTGCCCACCCATCCTTACAAAGTCAGGCATATACTGCTTAAGGATGTATGAACATTTGAATTTACATTCTTTCAATTTTTTCAATTGATTTGCATGAAGCCAGTAACATGTAGAAGCACACACTTGTTACATTAAATAAGCTTTCTACTGAACAGTAAATGGTTTGACACAATGACAGTCTAAAAATACTTGTATTGAATGGGAATCTAAATTGAGTCTAGTACAGAATGTGCATGTGCTTGAGTGTTTGTCTGACTTAGCCCTGCCACTCTGCAGGTTTTTCTGTTTTTTCTATTTTAATCCAGTGTTTTTCAGTGAGAATCTTCAGTCTACCGGCATGCTATCAGCTGTGTGAGGTAGGCACAGTGGTGCTTTGTTCCAAACACTGTATATATACTGTAGTATAGTAACATGCTCACAATGAAAATGCTAACATGCTGAATCGCTAATGTTTAGCAGGTATAGTGTGTTGACCATGGTTAACATCTTAGTTTTGTATGTTACCATTTGTTCATTAGCACTAAACCCAACAGTACAACTGAGTTTGATTTGAATATAATTAGTCTTGCTGGTATATGGTCATTAACCAGAGTACTGGATAATAGTAGTTTTGACCTGATGGTGGCGCTTGATGAAAAGTCAGAAGATCATCAAAGTGATTATAGTTCATCCTGAGGGAGACATAAATGTCTGCGCAAACTTCTATGGCAATTCACCTGATAGCGGTCAAGATACCGTATTTCACTCAAAACAACATACGAACCTCATGGTGGCGCTAGAGTTAAAATCAGCGGATCACCAATAGTTGTTGAAATGTTTCAGTCTAGACCGAATGGATGGACCGGCTGATAGACAAACAAATGTGGACAGCTAAAAACAACTGACACTGCCATCCATGGAGCAATGCAGTTAGCTTCACTAAAACTACCTTTAATGAAGGGGAATCAAAACTGGTACAGCACAAATGTGTAGGTTTCTTTTAAATCTATCTGACTTCACTGCTTTTTATTTACCTGTATATGGAGACGTTTTCTACGAGGTCTGTAGTCTCTGTGTCTGTGATGATGATGCCCTTCGGTGAGACTGTCAGTGTTACTTTCCGAAACTTCTTAGCACTGGCTCTGGCCTGTGGATATGAAATATAAAAAAACACATAAAATCAAATGGAGAAAGTCTTGCCACAGATATACACAAAGTGAGTCTGTCACTCTGACATAAATATTAAATCATCTTATTTCTCATTAAACCCTCAAATGCGACAGTAGCTGCCCGAGCACATTTGAGCAGCTTGCATGAGTTGCCCCAGAAATGTGGGGAATTTATAAAAGGTGACAGAACAGGGGGGGAGGAAAGCTGCAATGTGGAGCCCAGAACGAGTACTCGAGGTCGGGCTGGCAGCCACCGACTCCCCCTGCCGCTCTGCTCCATCTGGAGTTTCAGAAAATACGGCCATAGTGCTGAGCTTGCGGTCTGTGAAAGTGCCTGTTGACAATGACCTCCTTATCGTGCAATTAGATAGCAAATGAGGGCAGTTTAGTTTCACACCAAAATGATATCGGGTTAAAAATCGGTAGAGTGACTGAAGGAATACAGAGCAGGAAGAAGAAAGAAGGGAAATTAAAGGAAATGATTTCATCATTCACTGCACATTTCTACATTCCTGCACTGAGGACTCTTTCATATTTGCAGGATAAAGTCTAACAAGGATGAAAAGGAGTGGAGTCTCTGCTTAAACATAAACTAGGGCTTCTGAAGGACAACAGGAATGGTGCCGCTGTGCTTGCTGTAGGAGCCTGAATGCCCTGGAGATGGTGACAGCGAACAGCACATTGTGCTTAAACACACAGCACTTACAATGTGGGAATCTGACATTATAATAGGGAGGGAAAGGGTGCTGTGGTAGCTCATTCATGTAGGAAGTGCTAACAACCACATTTTCTTCTGTCATGTTACTCATGTCGTGCCACAAGGCAAAAACCAATCTGTCAGCTTGAGATACGCCAAGTTCAGCCTCTCTCTATAATGTTTGGTCCCTCGGTCTTGTCTTATCATGAGTGACTGAAGCATGTAGCAAATGGAAATGTCACAAATGTATTCAGTAATCCCATTCAGGTTGATTGGTTTCCAAGGGAACAGACAGAAACCAATGAGGTGCTTTTTCTGTCGTGGTGTAAATCAATTGAATCTTAATCCTGCCATTAGGTTTGGTTCAGTCTCTAATTGAGAAGTGGGAGGTTTATGATTAGGCTGCCTGTGCCGGGCTCTTTTTTCTGCAGAGAAAGCCCTTCCAAAAGATTAGGCATTCTTATTGTTGGTAAAAAGGTGTGCATGTGTCTGAGCATGAAAGATAAATGACAGAAAGAAACAGTTTGTGCGCATAAACACATGAAAATAATGTTTTTTTTTTGTTTATTTGCAGTTTTCATACGTAGCAGTCTTGTGAAAACCAACACGAATCTGAATTGATGTAGAAACCCGTGCTCAGAAACCCCCTGTACAGTACGGCTCAGTGTTAAGTAAACATCATATCACTGATTTGACTGCTGCACATGTGCAACTCTTGATAATCCTGGATTAGCAGCTGCGTTTCCATGCGTCCATACTGACCTTGATATAAACATGACCCAACTATAACAACAGCCAAGAAGAATTACACAAAGTTGAAGGTGGAAGACACTGATTACTCAGTTTATAAGTAGAATATAGTCCGCTGAGCAGTTGAACAGCTCACAGAACATTTGATTCTAAATGTTTGCACTGATCCATGAAGACTGAACTAGATAATTATGGCAGTGTCTACAATGGTTTTCAGGCAATGAGAATACTTTTACTGAGCTGTGACTGACTGAATTACTGACATAAAGGACATCTTATATTCAAATTCAGTCTTCTTTTCATTGTCTGTAGTGGTACCCAAAGTTGTATTACATTGTAGATATGATGCAACAATTTACCAATTTATCATAAATCTGACTGAATATTGTCCTGGGTCATCAGAATAAGCTGGATAAAAACTAAATTTGACAAGTAGCCCCCCTTTCAGATAATATGCACTGCAGTTTGAGGCTGTAATTTCACAAATACACAAGAGAATTTCTATAAAAAGAATCGCTGTAATTGAAATCTCTACAATGTCACTGTTGAAATTTCACGTCGCTCTTGAAGGTGCTGACCTTTCTTACAGAATTTTATGCAACACTGTTTGCAAACCTCAGAATCAGTACAATCATGCGAGATTTATAAAGTGATACCACTACCAATAGAGTACTTCATGCGATACCTTTTTTTGCCTTCAGAGACAGAAACCAGTTTTCTCCATCCTTCATGACGTTATCATGTTACTCATATTCCCAGTCTTTCTTTAAATAATCCTTCGGCATGTTTATGCATTTATTTTTTCCACACACACTTGCGTCTATATAGGTTATATAACTTTGGAACGGTTTGGTGGCGCCATGGCACGCTGAACTGTCAACTCCATCAAATACATCACGCTCAACTTCACCACCACAGACTGTGTGTAGCTGGTAGATGTAGCTGTGGTAGTGTGCCAATCCCACATCACATTAAATCAAATAACACATTTTGGGTGCTTTCATTGCCTTTAATTGATAGTAACAGCTGTAGAGTGTCAGGAAATGGGCAGGAGAGAGAGGGGATGACATGCAGCAAACGGCCAAAGGTTGGATCCGAACCCATTGCCAATGCACCAAGAACTCAGCATTGGCACATGGGCCACCAGCTTTACCAGGTAAACTACCAGGGCTCCTCATGCAGGTAGCATTTGACTAGAGATGTTTTGATATTACTTGCTATTACCTGGTTCCTTCAGTCGATACCTTAAAAGGAATGGAGTACCAATATCCGGCTCCAAGACTGTATGAGTCAGAACAGGAACAGTGACTCACCGTGGCAACAATTCTGCGAATGGCAGCTGAGGCCATGTCCTCTCCTTTGGGCTGGCCAACCAGAGTCATACCCAGGTACTTCACATTGAACACCATCCCCTCCAGCAGAGTCTCCTTGGTGTCCGTCCAGTTCTCTGGCAGCTCTGGTTGGACAGAAAGACAGGACATAGGCAATCAACAAAATACTCTGATACCACTAAACAAGGGTATATAATTAGAAGGATTTGGTAGTAAAATGTGCTTCACTAAATAAGAGTTCAGACAACTATCAACGTTTTCATGAGTTCACATGAGATTACATTTGCTGAGCCGTGACTGACTGAATTACTGACATTCAATCTATCATAAATGACCATCCTGACAAAATATTGTCCTGGCTCATCAGAATAAACTGGATAAAAACTAAACTTGACAAGTTTCAGATAATATACACTGCAGTTTAAGGCTGTAATTTAAATATTCTACACAACTATCATCTTTTCAAATACTTGTAGACAGATGCTGGCAAATGATAGATAAATGTCACATAATTCACATAAACAGTCAAATTTGACTACATAGGTCACTCAGTCATGGAGTGACCATGCATGAGATCAAATTAGAAGTTGATTTAAAAGGGGATTCATATGTTAGAAAAGATATGACAGAAATGTGTCACAATTCTTAAAATATAAATGCAAAAGTCTGTCATAGTCAGTCTCTTCATTGCATAGTTTGCTGAGCAGACTGTTTACAATACTCAGCACAGACAGCATGAGAGCTGGCAGAGTAACATCACAGCTGAGCAGACATTGCTGAGGATATACAGTCAGACTTTGCACAAATTATGTGTGCTAAAATGATCACACAGAATTTTTTATATGAAATTATTTTTGTCGAATAATGTCTCTCTGTAAGAAGTCCCCAATGTTTGTTTTTTTTTATTGCACTTACATAATTAGAAAAGTTGGAAATTGTTTATGCACTGGAAGATAATAATAAGATAAAAAGACCAACTCTACTCTCTATGCTTTGAATACATCCTATTGAAATGAGATCTGTTATCATCTCTGAGTGGATAAGAAGATTTCAACAGCAGAAAACAGGAATTGTGGCACAGGCTCCACAAACCCAATGTCAGCTGGACTCTGATAGACTGCACAGAATGGCTGCAATGTCCTGCTGTTGCTGTGATTTCCAACAGGTAGCAACAAGCTGTCCTCTAACTGACTACTGTGGGCAGGGAGGGGGACTGCGCCCATGCAGAGAACTTAAAATATCTCTCGACAACACCTGGACACCCTGCAGTGGAGCATCAGGAGAGGAATAACTTGCAACAGATCACATTCTGTGCTAAACTTAATGGGCCGATAACAAACATCATCCATTAAACAACAGCATTTCAAAGCGTTCTTTTAACACCAAAGTTGCAGTTATTAAGACGACCACACAATGCATGAATAACCAACTAAATAACCTGCACAAAGCTCCTTTGTTTTCCCCTTCCTTAGAGGTAATTCTGCTCATAAAACACACACACACACACACACACACACACACACACACACACACACACACACACACACACACACACACACACACACACACACACACACACACACACACACACACACACACACACACACACACTGAAAGGAGAGAGCAAGACTGACAACGAGTCTGAACAAAAAGAGCATGTAGAGAAGGGAAGACAAGAGAAAGAGACACACACACACACACACACTATCACTCTACTGGGCTACTGGCACCAGACACTCCACATGGGCTGAGCCATCTGTCACTGGCAGGCCCCATGCAGCTGTGAAGGCGAACAGCAGAGAACACCATCCCCTTACAACGCTTCCAACAACTCTGAATTATTAACTAATCTTCAATCATACTATGGGGGCTCACTTCAAAACCAGAGCGCTCATAATAACAATATTAAACGTGATTGCTTAGGTAGGACCGTGGACATGGTTTGTTGCTTTTGACCGTTCTGGATGAGAGCTATGTGAGGATTAAGAGTAAGAGTCTCATATTTTGTCCAACATGGAAGTTATGACTTTAATACTCTAAGCAATTCAAACAGCAAATACAATACATTTACTGTTCTGAGTCAGCAGGGTCACTACAATTCAAAATGGTTCTTTAATGCCATTTATTGATCCACGGGGAGAAATCCATCCTCTCTTTCCCTGTCTCCACAGGAGGTCAGAGGTCAGGTTCAGCTACAGAACGGCACAAAGGGTTTCAGTCTTTTCAGTCTCTAACAACATAAAGGCATAATAACAGATCCACTATTTCTAGAAGGGTTTTCTTTAGTTATGAAATAGTGTTTTACAAAAGGATTTTTTTTTTATGCTTTAAACATCTTGTAACATAATTCCATTCACTTCCAAAGCGTTGCTGTGGCAGCTAAATTCTCAGCAGTTGATATTTGACAATCAAGGAAAATAAAACCAAAACTACATGCATGGTTCCACACCACTCATAAGATCCAATCCAATCCAACTTTATTTGTTAAGCACTTTAAAACAACCAAAGTTGACCAAAGTGCTGGAGAGTACTAATCGTAGAAAACTAAAAGGTGAACCAGCATGCTATTAAAAAGGAGTGAAACAAATATAAGAATGGGGTTCACAAACTGAGCTTTCATTGAACACATCCCCATCAACAGCAATTGTTCGTTTCTGGGTTAGCAACAGTAACTAGGCACTACAGGCCTGTCAAATCCCAAAATACAGGAGCAAAAAAAGTGAACCAAATTGATTAAAACTGTTTATCTGATTAACATAAGCTGCAAACCTTGTGCACTTAAATATAATTTATTTAGATATACTACCTCTATATTCTAAGGATTACAGGTTACACTAGAAGATTCTCCAGTGTGGGACTGGAACTGTGTAGGAGCCAAGATGCTTCTTTATCAGAGTCTGGAGTCACGATAGTGGTTTTGTCCTGCTCCTTACTTGGTTTGGGCGAGTTTAAGCGAAACCCGTTAGGAGTATTAGTAGTGTTACTTTGCCAAACTCATTGGTTAGTCCTCATTATGACTGGTAAGGATTTCTGACTTTTACCTGGGAAAATCTAGTTTTAGCCTCAGTCAATATTAAAGCATTATATCTACATAGCCACCATATGGATACAGTATTTAAGAGCCTTTTACAGGTCAACAGTTTTAAAAGGAGTCAGCTGGTGGAAGCATTTCCCACCATCTCATTAATCTTCATCGTCCTTTTCAGCCTTTAGGACACAGTTAAATAAGTTTCTCATTTAATCTCGAACCTTATGGGAAGACGCTGCCTTGGTTTTATCTGCTTACAGGTTTGTGTTTTCCGATTTATTTTCTCGTCCTTTCGTTTTACAACCGTTTATGCTTGCTTGTGTGTCTTGCGTATGTAGAGATTGTTTGCGCCATGTGTTTTTTGTGTTGAATTGTTTGTTTGTTTTTGAATAATAATGCCGGCATTGTAATTACGGTCTTATATATGTATGCATTTTGCTTTGTATTATTGTGCAAATAAACTAAACTAAGCATTATCCTACTTGCTGCAGCTGATAAAATCTACTAACACTCAATCATTCAGGGCACAAAATCAATGGTTATCACCTAGAAATGCTTGCTTTTGTTTACCTCTGTGTGAAATCAGAGACCTATTGCTTAAAAAATGTATATGATTTTTGGGATCGGTATATACGCCACTGTTGTATCACCATTATAAACTGCATATGCACCACGCCAGAATAGAAAACTTGACAGCGCAGCAACTGTAACTAATTCCAAACAATGAAAATAATACTCTAATATTAATCCTTCATAGTTTGGGTCAAAAGATTTATTGAATGGCTGCATTCTTTAAAAATGTCACAGCATTACAAAGCTAAAGTGCTACAGTCCATGTTGTGCCTTCACCAGGCTACACACATGAATTATTAAAGAGCTTCATGTTGATGCTGCAGGGTTTCCAATATATTATCCCCCTAAAAGAGGAGCGCTTAAATTTTTAATAATTCCTATGTGAGTCTACAGAGGGCCTGGGACTGATAAGAGTGACAGGAACATGCGCAGGGAGGCTAATTGGATTTTAACATGTGGAAGAAAATACTGAGGAAGACTGAAAATATGAACATTTATTTTTATTAAATATGCAGTACATGTCATACTGTCATCTGTGTTAGTGTGAGTGTGTTTAAGAGTGTGCGTCAAGGTGATCTAATTTAAAAGGGCACAAAACAAGATTAAGGAGGGCGCAGCGATGGTGGTGCACTGATTACGTTTGCATCTTTATTAAACTGATGCCTGGCAACACTTTCACACCCAGACTGTTGCAGCAAGTGAACTGATTCCATTATGCTCACACAGAAGCTTCACAGTTGGGACACACACACTGAAGAATCAATGCATTACAACGAAGGCACAGAGCAATTTGATGACATTTTGTTGCACTGGGCCTCAAGTTATTAAGTTATAATACCATTGCCCTGAGATGTTGAGCACAGTAAAATATTCTACATTCTCTGTTGAACGAACTAGCGACAAGTGTAACGTTTCACAGTAGCTCGGTTGACTGTTGTGGTATAATGGGTACCATGTGCTCTGCACGCCTTCAGCTACATGCAGTGATCACCAGCTGTCTCTTTGAGCTTCACGCGCAGTAATTTAATTTGCACTGAGAAGTCAAAATCGTACCCGGGTGGATTCTGCTCTGGCTGAACACCTCCACTGATGGTTAATTAATAAAACAAACAGGAGCGCGAAGATATGCACATAGGCATAATAAAGCACGATGGGGACACACACACACACACACACACACACACACACACACACACACAGATATAATCATCTGAGTTAATTGCAAAAACTGTTGGAATAAGTATGTGCTCCAGGGTCAAGATAACAAAAGCATTTCCTGTTTTCAATTTCCCTACAGGTCAAAAAGTAGGCTATTTTTTTTCTATGGGAGGTTTCACACAGCATCTTGGTCTAAATCCAACGGAATCAGTGCAACATCAACATGAGTGAGGAAGCATTCAGCTTGCCTTTAAGACCCAAGTGACACCCGCATCCTCCACATCCTCCTTGATATAATCTCTTTGCCTTACTGTTTTACTCATCCAACGGAACTTTGAATCTAGGACACCACCTTGACAGGGAAAA